CCACACTGATACCCTGTGGGTATACCCGAGGTTGGGTACCCAATTTCCTAGTCCCGGAAGGTATCCAACGGTTATTTGTCGGTTATCAGGTACCTCCCACGGGGACCGACTGCCAGATTGCCTTGGGCAGAATTTATTTTTTTGGTGAGTTTTCATCAAAAAAGTTAGCTTTCCTCCTGAAAGAGGTTGCCTGCAACTTTGATCCCAGTCATTTTCTCTGGTTTGGACGTTGGAGTCGTTATGTAAGTAAGATCTCCGTTCTGTCAGATGTGGTGTAATGAAACCCAAATCTCAGCGGTCCATTATCACAAACATCTGTGGTCTGGAACGGACACCAAACAACTGTAAGTGCCTCAAGCATGGCCTGACCATGAGCCTCCTTGCTTTTCTTATTTTTTTTGTCTCAATTTCAGCTTCCAAATACCATTGGAAGTGAAATGTTGGTCTCCAAACCTTTACAAGACTCCGCCCAAGGTCCATTCCCAAAGATATCCAATTGGGTAAAAATCCCACAATATCCTCCCGCGTTCCGACAAACTGGGTTGGATAGTCGGGTATACCCAACTGGATTGGGGTCAGGGCCCACCCTTAGATTTAACAAACTATCTACTCTTTTAACTTTATGTAGACTCTTATAAAGATTTAGTAAAGACTTTGTTAAGGTTACATTTCTTAATATCACAATCCTGAGGAGAATACAAATAAGAAGAAATATCAAGATGAGGAAGGAAAGAGGAAGTCACCGATCAGAGAGAAAGACACAATGTAAGATAAAAAAAATCACACAACAAGTGAAAGACAAATGAATTATGATCAATCAGGAACATGATTGTGACTAGAATAGAAATGGCCAAATGATGTCACACCAGAGATTGATCAATTGAGAAACTGAAAGAACCCACATGACATCATAATATATTAATGTATAAAACCCATTACTATCCGTAAGTATATACCATAATGATTGATAAATGCATGAATCATCACATTGGGAGGAATCCTCCCCGTTTTCAAGAGTGTAGCCTTTCAATGCCCAGGAGAAATCCTCCTGGCCATGTGCCTTTCAACGGCCGGGAGGAATCTACTGTCCTTTCCCTAGTTTTTCTTTTCAGCACCAATTCCAAATCCCCATGGGGTTTTTGAATAATGACTTCCAAAATACCATGGGGGGGGGGGGCTCCCCCCAATAATAATAATAACAATTATATTTCAGGGAGTCAAATCCCAAACAAATTGAAGGGTTTGGAGGACCAACTTTCAAAAACCGGGGAGGGGAGAATTAGGGGCCTGATGTCCTGAGGACCATCTGTAGACAGTCCTCAGGACATCCCCAAAATTTGGGAGTCGGAACTCCAAATTTTGGAAGTCATTTAACTAAGGCCCCAAAGATATTCAGCTGAGTAAATTGCAAAATGTCTCCTTACACCGTAAAGAGGTCAACTCAGAGATCTGAAGTTATTCATCATTGCAGTCAGCTTCAGCTTTGTATGCAAGAATTCAAAGAGCTGCTGTTATTTTCACCAGTGGTCTCTGCCTTCAAATTTGCAAGGCCAGTTAGGACGTTGTTTACCTGGTTTTGAACCACCACATGATGGAAAGCCAATTTTGTATTTCAAGGAGGATTGGTGTGATTTCAAGTAGCACATTGATCATTGTTCTGGATGTTGCTACAGCTTGCCTTTTTTGTAAGATCACTCACAGTATGGTGTTAAATGTCAAACTAAAGTTTTGTATTTCTGATCAGTAAGAAATACAATAAGAAACAACAATAAGAAAAGATATAAGAAAGAGAATTGTACCTAAAGGCAGGAGCAACTGAAACAAGGGACGCAACAAACAAAAGCAACAAGGAAATGGAAAACAATGAAGAACTAATGATGAAGATATGTCAGTTGGGATCTAGTTGAGTTGTCGAAAGAGAATTGAGTCGATGACCTACGACGATAGGAAAGAGGATTGAATCGTGCTGAATATCGGCGGAAGGTCAGAAGGAAAGGGAAGCACACAAGTACGCGAAGGAAGTGCAATGGTCGGCGGTTAGTCGAATAAGAAGGGAAGTGCACGAGTACGCGAAGGAAGTGCAATGGTTGGCGGTTAGTCGAATAGGAAGGGAAGTGCACGATAAGCAAAAAAGAGAAATAATGTGGATGATTTCTAGCGATAGAATATAAGATAGTTGATTGGAGAGTCAAAGTAAGTGATGAATCCGAAGACTTAAGAAGGAGTAACAAGTCTTGATAATGATTTTTAAGGATTCATGAGGAAGAAAGAGAGCGACCGAGGCCACGAGAGAGGTTCTTTTATGTCAGATATCATTGATGATGTCATGAAGAAAATGACTGAAGATTATGTAATGAGGGTCTTTGGAACAGTCCTGCTAGAGTTCTAGAGGGATCAAGCTCAGATCTCAACATATGGCAGTATCTACCTCCATGTTAATTGCTTGTGTGATGTGCCTTTTTGTGATCACAAATGGATCATGATGTAGGTGGGATTGGGGGATAACCTTTCACAACCCCAAGGTGCTACTCTGATACTCTGCAGTACAAAAGACACTCAGGCAAGGAGCTAAAAAATGTGCCACAGTTGTGCAAGGTCAAAATTTAGTGACACATGTAGTCCCCTACAGTGGTGATTTTCTCAGAGCATCCCCAACACGATCGGTAAATCCAGGCCACCAAAAGTTTGAATTTAGCAACTGTGTTCTGGATTTAACCCCTGAGATTGACCTGTGCACCAGTGCTGAACTTAACACAAGTCCCTCTCTGGGACTGGAGGGCCCCCTACTTCAGGGAGGGAGTTGCATGTAATGACACTCATCTATCCTGAGAGCATCCAGCCAAATGGCTGGGTAAATCACAAGATCCCCAATTTTTCCCATAAGATCACTGTTTTTAAGGGATCCTCTCAGGAAATACAATTTACTGCTTTTTCTAAAAATTTCTATGTCTTCCATTTCCTATTGATTCCATCCTCTTCATTCTTTATATATTGGGCTGGATAGAAATTGAAAAATCAAAAATATGATTCAACAATGACAGGATATTTCCACACCTGTTTCAAGTCTCACTCTCTCATGAAAACAATGACAGTCATGGGGGAGAATGTATTTGCTAGTTTTTTAGTACCCCAGTCAAACCTTGGAGTCTCACTCTTTCTGTGATTGCAGATGTCAATGACCTCAATGACAGCTTTGAGCTACACTATTACAAGTTTTATAATTTCTGATCTGGTGTTGAAATTCCGTCATCTCCAGGTCTCATTTCTATCCCTGTCACTCCTTTTTCACCATGTCACTCATTTCATTCCCTTTTTCCATGCATATTTATCTCAACTTTGTCCCACAACCTGTCCCTCATGATTGTAATAGCTTAAGTACCCTGCTTGGATAAGAGAAATATCAGCATCAGTTTTCTGTGCCTGTTCCCTGAGACCACTCATTCAGTCTCTTGTAGTGAGGTCGCTTTTCTGACCCACAAGCTAGCAGCCTTAGCCCTCTTTGAGGGCTCTAAGACCTTTGTTTTTTCCTCAGAGCTTTTCCTCAAGGTTTCTTCTTCACCCGGTCTCTTCCCCTTTCCTCTGGCTAAAAATCTTGAGTTTCTTCATCTGGTCATGCAAGCATAATATAACTATCTGAGAAAAGCAAAAAAAAAAATCTATTGCAATTTGTTGGGATTCAACTCCCAAAGCATGTCCTCCTTTGAGAAGAGGTAGGAGCCACATTTTTGCTGCTAGAAGGATGATATTTTTTAAACAAAATTCAAGCTTCTCCGCTAACCTCCAGTAACCTCATTTCTTTACAAGAAATTTTGGTTTTGGATGTAAATTAATTTGAAGTTCAAATTCACCCCCAAAACTAATGACCTCAGCCTGCAAGTCTGATTTATCATGTAAGCCTCTCCTTTGGAGAGTGCCCTAGTTAAGCTTGACCACCTCAAGGTGCTAAATATGAGCTTAATTTTGTTTAATATATGACACCAACATGTGAAGTTGTAGGTACATAGACATGAAATTGGATGCAAGTGTCACAGATTCGAAGGAGATTTCACACTGCTTGATCTCTAGTTTGGTTTGTAGGGAGGTGCTACATGTAGCAACTTGCTAGCAACTTGAGAACTGTTTTTTAACAGCGGTGGGTGGGTTTTTTGTGAGTTGGATTGGTAAATTGGGTTTAGCAACCCAATTTACCTACTGCCTTGGAGATGCTCTAAGTAACAAGAATCATTCATTGATCTGCCCTTCTTCCAAAAAAAAAGAGATCATTCTGCCAAACAATTTGAGAAACCATAATAACACAAATCTTTTCCTTTGATGATGTAGACTGAAGGAACAAGAGCTATGTGATTGTTCAGTAATTTTTTTATAGAAAGGCAAAGATCCTTTGGCTGGCTAGGGCTGTTCAAGAAGTAAATTAGCAATAAATTGAGGCAAGCCAGAGACATACAAAAGACACCAGCACGTTGCAAAGGTGTGTGAAAATCCAACAAAAAAAGTCCATATGACATCCCAACAGCAAAAGACCCTCACAAAATTGATAACCCAATACCATTTTCAACGTCAACTCATGTGGCATCGTTGTGACAAAGAGTGTACATAAAACGACACCTCGCGACCCAGACTGGTTGACTGGAACACCAAGTGTAAGGGATGCTTCCGTGGGTCTTGAACCGTGTTCGCGAAGACAGGGCAAGACAGTTTCTTCGGCTGCTGGCACCCGACATCAGGGACATCGTCTATGGAGGAAGACAACAGATGAATTTCGTACCATTTGCCAAGGTTTCGGAACACGGCTAGGCAGCCGGCTCCGATCAAGCAGCGGTTAGGTCCGGGCTCTCATTTGGTTGCATATCTACTCCGTCTTTTACAGCCTAGAGGCCTTCGCCGGTGACCCATGACAACACAAACTCCTGAAAGTCCTCTGCAGCACTCGAGGCTCGAGATGCTAGACCTCCCTCAAGCCAGACTATTTAAGAAGATGCTTTCGCCGCTCACCTTACCATATCTCCCCACCATCTTACTTAGCGATACATAGATTAGAAGTAACAAGAAAATGTCTGCTTATAAACTTGCCTTGGTTGTGATCAGCTTGCTAGCAAACCATATATCTCTCTCAGCCGCTGCAGCCTGCGACGATCGTTCCAAACTCGATATCAATGAATGTCAAGCGTAGGTCTGGCTTCTCTCAGCCTTCATATATCGACATGCTAGTTCACTCACAATTGTTTTGATTTTGTGCTTTCCATTGATGTTGAAAATGGCTCTTTGAAAAAAGGGCTCGGGATTCAATTGCCTATGTGCCGGGTCAAAATGTCATTAAATCGGTTGAACGCTCCATTCAAGCCAGCTCTGGAAAATGCATGGTAAGTCCAGTGGATTTAGGTTCTGTCTATGAAGAAATCATTTTAGTAAATCCAATTGGCAATTTGAACCTAGAAAAATACTGACTATAAATTTCTTTTGCCACTAGATTCAGGTTCTTGTTGTGCCAACTCCATCACCAGTTATTAGTAAGAATGAAATAGACACAACCATCAATGACATTCTGGCATGTGGAACACATGTATGCAATTTCTTCATCCCATATTCTTTGACTGTGTACAAGGCCCCATCCAAGTATCTAACCCTTGGACCAATACTATATTTTTTAGGCTGGAAAGAATGATCCTGTAAAGAACATTCAAGTGATGGTTAGCGGTATTCCCGACAATTATACTGATACATATGGCCCAAATCAAAAGATGAATACAGCAGTCTGTGACACAGATGCAAATGGGGGCAAAAATGAAAAGCAAGATTGTTTGGAGTTTGTTTCTACTTTTATTGATAATAACTGGAAGACAATGATTTGATCTGATTCTTGAATAACCAGTGCCTTCAAAAAAATCACCACCAACAATCTTGGTCAATTACTGGACACACATGGGCAGCCATCAAACCACACTTACACAACTGTAAAAACTTGTACAGTGAGTCAACCTGGTCCAAAATGCTTGATGGAAACATGACCTCTTTCAATAATTTTTGTTTTTCTAACCACTTGATTGAAACAGGTACAGATTTTTTCAACTAATGGCTTACCAGTGAATGAGTCAGTATCTCAAGAATTTATCATAAACAAATAAACCATTACTTCAACAGTACTGATTTTATATAACAATCTTGAATTTTTTGTTGATAAAGAAAATTGGATAAACTCTCAAGCTCTCTCAATGTAATACTGGACACATGCCATAAGCAAGTAAGTTGTTGTTTTGATCAAGATATAAGGCACTTTGTAGAGATTTGCTTATGAGTGTTTTGATAGTCTGGTTATCTGGCACTTCATGGGGGAACTGAGGGACTAAATGGAAGATTATCTGTGAAAACAGGGGCATTTTAAAAACCTAAAAAATCATACACACTCTATTACTGTCCCTTTTCATTACACTTTTCAGATTCTCTCACTTTATTTCCAACATGCAGCATGTCTCAATTTTCCCTACTTTCAAAAAAGAAAACCATATGAATCTTTTTTAGATTTGTTTTTTGTCATGGGAAAACAGTTTGAGGATTGTAAAAAAATGAAGTTAATCTGCAAACTTCATATCTTTTTTCTCTCCTTTTGTATTCATTTGATGTACCTCTCATTTGTTCAACTTCTGCCACATTAGGACAGTTCAAATTCCAATAAACACTGTACATATTCACACTTCCAATAAAAATTCTGCTTGCTGATATCTGTAATTGTCCAAAACACAAAGTGAGGGCCTCATTCTACATATGGAAGAGTAAGGATGCTAATTGGGCCACTCAACAGTCACCTATGCAGTTGATGCAAAATAAGGAATATTGCAGGGCTAGACAGCCTGAAAGCTTTAATAACAAAAGACTAAGGCCCCACTTGGCCGCAAATTATGATATGTGATTTGGCTAACGTTTGGTGTGTATTTGGACCATTTGTTATAAAACAATATGAAATTTTTGCACAAACTTGCACCAAATCTTGCCTCCAAATTACAAATTACGGACAGCCAAACGGGCATAAAACAATGAAACACTGCAAAAAAAGTCGAGCAACTGTGCACAGTTGTCTGACTTTTTCTTGCTGTGAAATTGTGCAACTGAAATTCATGAGGAAGAAACTTTTGTTGGAATTTACAGTTTACTGGTGAATGGTGATGTTGAATCTTGATTGATGAATATTAGTGTTGGTTTTGATGATCACTGAGCTGAATTGAGGGGACTAAGTTGAACTTGGCTGGGTGATGATTGGCATTGACTGTGGAGCTTGTTACTGAATTGGCTGGGTGAAGATATGGGCAATTTTGATGGAGAGCCATGTTGTGTAACATATGATCTGGGCTCTCTCTTTTGCACTAGGGTTTTTGACTTGGTGTTGGAGTGCATGAGTGGGAAAGATTGGCTCTATGAGCATTGGAACTGTTTTAAGGAATACATGAAGAAAATTTGTAGCTTTATGAGAGGCGTGGTTTAGCCCCTGCGAGATTCTCCCATTCTGGTTTCCTTCTCATGAGGATCAAAAGTATTTGTTGCTGATTATGTACTCTGCGGGGTTACAAGCAGTCGTCGCCTGGGTCCAACAGCATCGGCACCAAGGACAAGGGACGGACCCCTCGAGGAGAAACAGCACTTAACACCGAACAAGCCATCAGAAGCGAAAGAACGGCACACTAAGAGTGGAACCATCTAATTAAAAAAAGAAAGGAAGGAAGGAGTATACACATAGGAAAGCATTGAACCCGGGAATTAACGATTGGAGCGATTATTAGGAAGGATGACCGCCATCCCAACTCAAGCCTCATCCCCATCCACCTCAACAAACACAACAGTCTCATCCCAGTCCTCCTCAACACAGAAAAACAAGCCAGTCGATCGATGTCTAAAGTGCTTGCTCAACCAACCAGCGTGTCCAACTCCTTGGATATATTGCTCATTGTTCGCTCTTTCATCCTTCAACATATCTCCTCCGCCCGTCTCAATTTGTTCGTGACCAGCCGTATCTGATCTCTACCACTCTCCTATGTTCTCTCGTTGGTGCATACATATATGTATGTGTGTATCTCTAGATGTTCCTCTTCCTGGCATTGGTCTTGTGTCACCATCAACCAACTCGATCCGATCGATATCATCGAAAAGGTAACACTCATCATCTTCATTTATAAACACGGTTTGACTCTCATTGAAAAAATAAAATAAGATGGAGAGTCAAACGGATAGAATGGAAGAGTTCATAGAGTACTGTCAAAAAAAAAATGGTGATAGTCTCAGGAAACTAATCGAAACCTTTTTCTCCCTTTTGTATCTATCGATCCCAACCCATCAACAAAAAAATCATGGACGTGATGTTCATGTATAGTGGTTTTGTGGGAATTGTACAAAGAAAGATCCCAATCTACAGGCGATATATAAAGAGCCACCACGGAAATCGAGTCGAGCGAAAGCAAAGAAGATCAACTATTCAGATCTATCAAACGATCCGTTGACGGACCCGGACCGATTTGTCAAGCTAGCGGATACGAAGAAGAATGTGATCGATGGATTTGATGTTCCGAGTACGGTAAGTCAATGTTACAAATATTGAGAGTTCTAGAGGAAAGGAGGTCAAGAGTGCTCAGGCTGAAAGAGGAGGAAGAGAGACAGAGAGAGAGAAAGAGGGAGAGGATGGGCATAAGAGTTCAGTCTGATGGATCTACGATTATATAACAGGGGCCTCACAAAGCGTTCCGGAAGATGAAGCCGGAGGAGTTGAGTCTAGAATGGTTGATCAACGATCCACAAGCGATGACGGAGCCGATCGTGATAGATGACAGCGCAGGACTCCGGGCGCAAGGGATGCGAATGCCCTCGCCGGAGCTGACGATCGGCCAGATCGCCGAGCTCGTCGGCCCAGAGACCCCGGTCGAGGTGATCGATGTCGCCAGTCAGGCCGAGCTCTCTCGCTGGACTCTTGCCCAATGGGCCTCCTACTACGAACACCCAGCTCGTCAACGCGTAAGAAACGTCATCAGCCTCGAAGTCTCCGATTCGCCTCTCGGCGATTCAGTCCAACTCCCTCAAATCGTCAAGGATCTCGACTGGGTTAATACCATCTGGCCAAGCCATTTACGTGCTCAGGGTAGTGCCACTTTCCCTAAAGTGCAGAAATATTGCCTGATGAGCGTCGCTCGTTGTTGGACGGTGAGTACCAACCAGATGGCTGCCCAGTACTTTTATTATCTATAACCCCAACGTCTGGATATCGACCGGGGTTCTCTTTTTTTTTGATAAATCCATGTGGCTTATGACGGTCTGTTCTTTCTCTTGTTTATTGAAATTGGTTAGGATTGGCATATAGATTTTGCAGGGTCATCGGTCTTTTATCACATCCTACGAGGAGCCAAGACGTTTTATTTTATCAGGCCGACGGTAGCAAACCTAGCCAAATACGAAAGATGGTCAGGTAGTTCGAAGTTGCAAGAGTCAACCTGGCTAGGAGACCAGGTGAATGTGGTCTACAAGGTTTGTTTGCGGGCTGGACAGACCATGATGATTCCCACCGGCTGGATCCATGCCGTCCATACCCCGGTTGATTCTTTAGTCTTCGGAGGGAACTTCTTGCACAGTTTAAATATCCCGCTCCAGCTGAGAATCCATCAGATCGAGAACAATACCAAGGTGCCTAAGAAGTTCCGATTTCCATTCTTTCTACCGATGCTTTGGTTTGTGGCCTGTCATTATCTCCGAAGGCTCGAAGGTGACGAGCACCAGAAGCCTTCCGATGGAGCCCATGACTCCTCTTCTTCCTCAATCCCATTCAATCTAGACTCCTTGCCAAGGATCCCCGAGCGGATCCTCGCAGGTCTCTCGACCCTGGCCGAGTTTTTGCCCTCCCAAACAGAATGGTCGGATAACCATCCACCACTCTCCTCGGCCGAACTGTCCAAAGTTCTGGAAGGATATTTGGACACCAATCGGATCCCGAACCTTGGCCAGACCTCCACCCAGTTCCAACATCTCTTGCGTCGTCTCCACCCTTCCACCCATCCTTCCCCGACCAAAGTCGAGCAGGAATATTCTACCAACAGAGCGCCGGACACCTTGGCTCCTCCTCAAAAGGAAAACAATCCGGGAGGAGAGAGTGGGGCTGATAAGAAGCCGTTTAAGAGTCCACTCCAGATCACCTTGAAGCGGAAGATCAGCTGTCCTTCGGTGACTGGGACGAGTGAGGAAGGCCAAGCAAAACCACCGACGTTAAGCTCGAACAGATCGCTGACACTGAAACTGAAGAACAAGAATGGCTCGAGTCAGAACGGGGACGCCGGCGGGAAGACGACCACTCGGGGAGAAACCAAAAAGAAAGCGACGGGCAATAAGAAAGTGAAGAGTCAACAAACTGGGACGGTTGTTAGTCAATCGGAGAGTAGGAAAAAGACGGACCCTGGCGAGATTCTAAGGATCTCTAATCCGCCGCCCGTTAATCATGTCCATCGCGAGAAACGCGCTCGGCCGTTCCCCCTCGTGTCTGATCAATCAGACGGACTACTTCCTCCTCCCCCCGCCGATTCTTCCGGCTCCTCTGAACTCTTAGAAGACGTCGAGGTTCGCACTACTTCTGCTGAGAACTCCGTCCTCAGGAAATCTGTGGACCCCCGTTCCGGAATGGTCATCTTCGAAGTATGTACCTGTCTCTAACCCCCTTTTGTTGGCCGATTTACTCACAAGTAGGTTTGCTGACATTTTTTTTTTCTTTGGTGTTGTTATTGTTGTAGACTAGAACTGTTAAAACTGTCATCGAAAAGGCTTTCTTTCCTCCCGTCTAATCGTTTCCGTCTATACCCTTTCTCTCTCTTTTTCTCATCCCTCCCTTCCCCCCCCCCCTTTTTTCTAAAAAAAAGGACATTCTCACTTGTGTTTACATTTTCTTTTTGTATAATTATTTATAACTTATCTTTTTGAAGAACAAATCGTTTATGACTTCCATTTCATTTCATTGAATTTCGTTTTTTTTTTTTTGCTTTCTTGGTTGGTTAAAATTGATTGAAAATTGTACGAAACACCAAAAAAAACCCAACGAGAAGAAAGACGAAATGATCCCAAAAACCCAAAATCCTACAAGTATATAAACGCAAAATTTATAATTTTTGTTATCACAGAGGTCTTGACAAATTGATAATCATTATGCTGAGGAAAACACGTTATGCTCCACACACAATCTTCCAAATCGCTTATCAGTTGGGATATGTATTGAACAGCAAGATTGGCGCTTGATTCTATGACTTATCTGTTTCTGCCTTGCCCCCTTGACCAAGTACTGGAGCAAAACATACTTCACACATAGGAAAAGAAGCTTGTAGCCTTAGATAGGTATCATGATATTCATGGTGTGCAATGCTCAAGGCAAAACTTAAACTTGAAACAAAAAAACAGCGAGGTTACGCTCCGTTCATTTCTCACATGTTTTTAACTCACACTAGACGCTTGCTCACTCACTGCACTCATCATTGTTCAGAGAAAGGAGAGAAGATTGCTTTGTAACGGGGTGGGGGGGGGATTTATTGGATTTATTTTCAATGATATTTACGAAAAGAACTTCTAACAAGTAACTCCCACGGTGGACTGAACAATTTCAACGAGATTGTTGGTGTGCCAAACCTTTTTGAGTTTGCGCAAGGTGGTGGGGACGCTTTCGACGGAACTGAGGAAGCTGAGCAGGGGAACTAAGGCCAACAGACCGCCTTGTTGGGACTCTTGACCATGGTATCGACGGACTTGGACCACGTTATCGTTTTGGCTCCTTATCGAGTAGTACGGGTCGTCGTCGACAAACACGACATTGTCCAAGCTTCCAAATTTAAGCAGATCCTTCTTGCGCTCTCCTTCGACAAGGGTGCAATGGCCAGAGGCCATGACCATCCGAATCGGGCAGATCGAGTTGGGGTAAGCTTCCAGGTAACGCTCTTCGATTTTCTTTTTGATCTTGGTGGCGTAGATCCATGAGCTGGAGGTAAAGATGGAGATTAGGGCGTAGTGCGCGGCCATCTCGTGGAGGAAGCTGATGCAGTCCGGGTGGATGAAGATGCTATAATGACAGCCATTCTCGCAGTCGACTACGAAGTCCACCTCACACCCGCCCCTGCTAATCAAGGTGTTGTCGAGGTCCAGGACGAGAATCTTTCTCTTCGGTTCCGTTTGGGCAACCGTCGGTCTGCAAAGGGTTGACTTGTGTTCGCTGATCCATTTCTCGAAGCCGTCCATATCTCGGATCGAGTAAAAACCGTCGAGAACAGAATCGTCGACCGCTTCAGAACCCTTGAAGAGCTCTTCGAGGGCTTGGGTAGCATTGGCATCGGCTTCGGTGCCGCCAACGGCGTGGTTGTCATTGGTCGGGGTCATCGTCTGGGCTTCGGAAGATATTACTTTTGGCCGAGGCAGCGCTTTCTTCAACGGTCACGTTGGCAGATAGTGATCAGGGCACACACAAAACCTGCTACGATAGACGACTTGAGAAGTACTGAGCGGATTCCGTCCCGGAGAAAAATGTTTGCGCGTCGGCAATGCTGTTTGGAGCCAAACGCCCCCTGTCTGTCCGAGTCCGTTGTCTTACAACATACCCTGTTTCTTGATCACTCACGCCCGCCCTCTGGCAGTACAAAGCCTCTGCCCGATCCGTGAAGAACCTTCCTGGAGCTTCCTTGAGTTTCACCAATTGCTGTTTGGGGCTTAACCCGGTTGGTCCGTTTCGCTCTTTGTGCACGCTTCCGACCTTCTCAAAGCGGAAACGGCGGGCAATTTGAAACCCCTTCAACATACTTACATCGTGGTGTTACCTTCGAGTCCTGTATCCTTGAAATTCCCCATTTGCCATCTGAATATTATGTAGGGCCTGCGGTGCAGCGTCTGTTTTATTTAAGTCTTTTTTTCAAAGAAAGAAAATGCAGATTTGATTGGACATTCCACAATGCGAATGTGCCAACGCCCACAACGCATCCTCGAGGAAAGAAGAAAGAGAGCAAGAAAGGGGAAAACAAGTGAAATTTTCTAACAAAACACAGGGGCCAGCTCTCGCTGGAGGCTGAGCCTACCGCCGTCGCCCATATCTCCCCTTCGTCACTGGGCAGATCGGAAAGGTCAGCTCGGTGGCTTTGAATGCCTGAGGGTTGTCGAGGAGTATCTTCTTTGAGATTGTCGAAATCTTCTCTTCCTTCATTATTGAGCGCGCCAGCCCTCTGACCTCCTTGGGCGTATCAACACTTTTCACAGATGGGAAAGGATGAATTACCAACTCATCGACTTGGAGCTTGAAGTGTTAACTTGACTGTGTATACTTCCAGCACCCTCGGAAGGGAAACGGCAGGAAAATTCTGAAATATCGAAACCCCTGGATATTTTTTCTCGAGGCGTCGTGACTGGAAATTGGTCCTCGCATGATCAGAAAGGTTTTGGTCGGGGATCAGAATGGTCAGACCGGAGCCCAGAAATTAGACTATGAAGACCTTTCTGAAGCCAAAACGTAGAAAGACTCTCTGTATGTGCTGACATTTTGCGTTTCTTGGACTCGGAGTCTCGACAAACCACTGCAAATCAGGCTCCTCTCAAGTTATGCAAATTGTCGCAGCTCTTGGAAAAGTTCAAAATGAGGCCATTTCCGCCCTCCCCAGTCCTTCCTCTCCCATGTGGATTCACGTCATCATCAAGCGTCATTTATCCCCAGAATTAGTATCCAAATTCTTAACGATCATTGGGATAGACCTTGAGCTCATTTGGTTTATCCTTCCAAGTCCGGACTTTGGCAATGCATTCACTAAAACTTCTGGCATTCTGTTTCCTGTTTATCAGTCGTTTCCAAGCTCATCATGCGAAAATACCCCCATTCTTATGTCTAGATAATGAGAAACCGCAAGCGTTATGTTTGAATACTGAGTCAGTTATGTCTGAGTGCACATCGACAAAAACAGTTGGAGGTAAAAGTCATAATCATACACCTTCTCAATCTCATCCACGTGCTTATCATTTTCAATTGCTTATCATATTGATGCATTCTTGACTTCTCCTCCCTCATAAATGCCCTAAAATCTTAATAAACTTTTTTGACAGTTCATCCATCTAATTGGGACGGAAAACATAACGATTGCCAAGTCTTGGCTGAGGCTCATCCAGGCAAGACAATCACTAAAATGTGTTGTTCTGCTAAATTAAGAGTCCAAGTAAGTCCTCTTTCCTGAATCTTTTCTTTGCGAGAAATTCTTTTTCAGCGGGTTCTTTGGGGGAATCCTTGAGTGATCTCTCAAAAATCCCTCGAAATTTGGTTGTTTTTCCCTCCTAACTTGATTCCATCTCATGCCAATGAACAATTTCTGAACCCCCCCCCCCCCCATTTTACAATTCTACAGGGAGATACTGATCAATGGGGATTCTTCCGTGTCAACACCGACGATGTTTCTAACATGTGCTGAAGTCTCAAGAAAGAAAGCTTCTCACTCTGGAACCCTTTGTTGGTGTCCACATTGTTCTTTCTTTTATCGTTTTCCTAGACATTTAACATTCCACTAAATTCCGGTGCAAATCAGAGGATTCTCATTCAATGTATATCAGAAGTCTTAAACAATAATACCATGGAAATATAAACCATCCACTAAGCACATGAAAAATGGTTCATTCTTTCAAGAAGCTCAGACTCCGCTGTATTACCTAAGTCCTAAGGCATACAAGCAAGAATGAACCAGACCAATGGGACAGCACATGTATCAAGAGACAATATAGGTCAATTTGATGACATACTAGAAGAAGAAGAACAAAATACAAACCTGAGAGCAGTTTCTGAAGGTTGATGAAAAGCATTATTGACTGAAGAAGATTCCAACTGATTGATTGAGACAGAAAATAAAATCAATGCAAAGAAATGAGGGTAAAAATATATATATTTGGTTCAACCAATAGAATGTAGGCAATAGAGTATGATCAGATAGATGTGGAGAGTGAGGAACTAACAGGAGCAGAGAAGAGCAAGAATCCTGTCAAGGAGAGCACCCAATTGATGTAGGCTTTGGTTGTGTAATCTTGCATTGTTGATTGGGTTGATTTTTACAAGAGAAAGGTTTTGATGAGTAAAATGATGATGAAAGGAATCTCCCAGATGGAATTTCAGAGATTTTCAGCATATTTTTCTCACTGAGAAAACATCAAGTCCAAAGAGGTACAGAGAAATTTAAGAGATTGCAATCTCATTCATTTTAGGAATATATTAATGTAAACATGAGCCTAATTTGTTTGAAAATGCAGGCTGCAGCACACCAAATGGGCTGCACTAAGCAGTAGAAGTTCTTTGAGTTTGGCAGCTTTGGCCTTTTCAATTTTTGGTTTGTCTCTTTCTTGAAATGAGTATGATGCAGCCACATAGATATGAGCTCAGGTTAATTATTCTTTTTCTCATTTGAAGATCTTCAAAGAATCTTCGGGCACAGTTGGAAATATATCCTAAGTAGAAAATAACGACTGATTTTGTTCAAATTCAAAAAACAGCAGAGATGGATCAATGATTTATTCTGCAATTAGGGCTGGCTTGCATGAAATTCCCAACAAAATGGCACCTTCTGCACTTGTATTCTCAAGATAAAAAACAATCACTGGATATCAGTGAAAAATTCTGAAAAGCATGTCTAATGAGCTCCTCCTCTTGAAAAATTAGCAGTATCAAAAATTGCAAGAGATGATGAGCACCTCAGCCTCAGGGCCATGAGAAAAATGACTACAACAAAAAAATACAAGGATTAGAAAAATAACCTTCAACCAAATGGTTCTACTTCCTACTTGTATCTTGATCACTGTCATTAATTGTAGAGACACTGTAATTATTCATAATTATTGTTACCACAAGAATCCTGTGAATAGAGTTCAACTTCAATTTCCTCCGGATAAGGGGCATATCGGAAATGGTGTTATGTTCTAGGGACGCGCAGAAAAACCAATAGTGCTGGCCCGATTAGACAAACTAAAGAGTTTCGGGGTCATTTATCGACATTTAGTTATTTAGGCCTCATCGAGTGGGTTCCCCACAACCACCAGATTCTACAGTTTCTTCATATGAAGCGTTTTAAGATTCCATGTAACTTAAAGCCACAAGTTATGCGGAATCAGCAATCTGGATAGGCTTGGACTGTGGAATCCCATTGTCAATATTTGATGTTCTAACGATGGCATATATGAGAGCGCAACCAACATTTTTTTTTGCCGGAACCTCATATTGTGTGCTCATTGGTTGGGCATTACGGCCCACGTGGACACAAGGCGCTCAACACACCAATACATCAACTGGGGACGTTTTGTGTTGTACTCCTATCGATGCCTAGTAGAATTGAGTGCCCTTGTCCAGTTTCTGTTCTACTATCATCAATTGCCCTCGTCAACAGCTCAGCTGGGAAAGCGCAAACAAATAGAAAATAATTGTGTGAGCAAGGGTGATTGCTGGCATCATTGGACAGATTAAAAATCACCGGTGTCATCTATTGCCATTCAGTTATTCAGGCCCCAACGAGTGGGTTCTCCACGACCGCCGAATTCTCCGGGTTCTTCTGCTACAACTCGTACAAAGTGTCAATACAACTTCGAGGAACACGTTTAGTGGAAGCAATCATCGGAAAGGCCTGTTGAATTCTATTTTCAGAAATTGGTCTTCTGACGATGATATTATGACACAGCCTAGATGGTCGCTGGTAGGACCTCAGCAATTGATTGCATTGTGTGCTCCTTGGTCGAGCATCACAGCCTATTTGGATGCAAGGCTTTAAGTCAACCAACAAAACAACTAAGGATGTGTCGTTTCGTGCTTGTATCAATGCAGACCTTTGTCCAGTTTGTTATGCATTTCGATGTATTGCCCTTGTCCAGGTCGTGTTCGACTGTTATGGAGTGCCTTTGTCCACGGCTCAGCTGCTACTATTTGTATCTAATCTGCACAAAGGATCACGATTCTAAAGCTCAACTGCTAGATGGTCGCTGAGCCTCAACCCTCCTCGGCAGGAATCCGGTGCTGAGCCTCGTGCTGCTAGGGGGGACGCAGCTGGCTCAGCGGATAAGTTCACTATATATATAGCGATCCAATTCCCTCGAAAGTCCCCAACATCCCTCCTTCACCCTCCTCCACAAAAACCTTCCTTCTCCCCCTCCGCAAGCGAAGCCTCACAGGTAAGCTAGTGAAACTCCCTCTCTCCATCGGCTCTCTCCTACCCACTACCAGTCAGTACCACCGCTGCAAGCTATCAGTGCCATTGATTCCTGCTTGCTTCTTCTTACCCCGCCTCATCAATTCGGACTTCTGTAGTAGAAAGCAAATTCAACCTTCCAAAAAAGCTGAAATGGATCATAAAGCTATAATGGGTAAGTCGGACGCAGCCTTTCTAATTGGCATATGATTTCAACACTAATAGTCGAATTTTTTCGGAAATTTCATAGAGATGTTCGACATCTACATGGGCGCGCGCAGATCTGAATCCCAACAGCAGCCAGCACGCCCCAGCCGTTCAGAACGTCATCGCGCCCGACGAGAAGCTCATGCACGCAACCCACCAGCACTCTCTTTCCTCGAGGCATGGAATGCCCCTCTTGTTCAGGATGCGACTGCTCCAATCCCACAAGCAGCTCCTGCTCCGACCCCACAAGCAGCTCCTGCTCCGACCCCACAAGCAGCTCCTGCTCCGACCCCACAAGCAGCTCTTGCCCAGACCCCGCAGACAGCTCCTGTTCAGACCCCGCAAGCAGCTCCTGTTCAGACCCCAGCAGCGACTTCTTCCCCGGACGAGTCGGTTGCCACCCTTCGGGCCAAGCACCGGCCAAAAGGAGAGAGGCTCCCTTTTGTAGAACCTCAAGCGAAGATGTCTACCCTCCATGACCTGAGGGCCTCGTGGTTTTCATGTCCCACTGCTCACCCCGGAGGAATTCGCCACCCTAGGGTCTTCACCCTCATCAGCCGTGACGACAGGGTACCTGCGCAACAGCGAGGTACCCTTCCCAGGCCCACTGCAGCTTCCCAAGTGGTATTGCCCAGGAGGGCACGTCGGCACACCCCGCGCCGAATGCCACGACCTCCTCAGGCTCAACCCAGGCAAGCCGCACAAGCACAGCAAGCCAGGCGAAGTAGACGAACCCAGCCTTACGCCACCAGCAGGCGCCTCAGCCTATTCGGGCTCAGAATGCAAAGACCAAATTGAATTTTAGTAAGTTTTTTGTACTCTCTACCTTCCATCTAGACATAACTTCAGGAAGGAGAATTGATTGAGAGCTTCCATAGATCGATCAAGGATGATATTATTTACTCTCTTCACCGTCTTTTTGCTATGCCCAAAATCTTGTACCCTCATATGCTCGATATGCTTCTTGAAATTTATTTTTTTCATTCATCGTTAATAACCTTGTCCTTGAGTCAATTTGCTTGCTGGATTAAGTTAGCAGCGCCCGTTCAGGCCGGCTGCCTTGAGGAAGGTGCATACAACAATTAGATTCCTGCTTGAATCATATCAATTGCTCTTCACCGAGCTTATCTGTCCTACTGCAAAATCGTTGCACGATGTACATGACTCCTTGAGTTGTTGGAAATGACACTGATAACTTCAGTCTACAACATGAGTTTTTTTTTTGCGACCGTAGGCAAAAGGTTCATCCGAACCATTTCTACATCCGCACATGAATTCAAGCCAGACAGCTACCTACGTTCGCCCCTAAAGCAGAGACAGATACATAGCTAATTTATTTGGACATCAACCAAGTTCAGGATCCAGCCCGAAGGTCTTCAGAATGTATAGAAGCCCAGCTGGCGAAGCGTTCGCATGATTCCATGGGCAATGTTGGATGCGAAATTAAAGGCTAATCGGATGTGTAGCATTTTTCAAGCCTCTGCATACCAGGTCTACTCGAAGCACGAGCCCGGTCATTCAGGGTCGATCCGACGGACCCCTAACCCGATCCGAGAGTGGGAGCCCGAATGATCTATGGAGAAGATCCTCCGGGAGCGGGGCAGTACGGGGCTACCCTGCGGGCTCTTATTCGGGAGGCTACTGTCAGCGACTCGGCGCGTCGCTTCTTCGGGCACAAATTCGCGACGGCAGACCAGCATCCACAATACAGTTCGCCGTTCTTCAAGAATCCAGGATACGGAAAGATTTTCTGAAAGACGAGGACGAGAGCGAGCAGGCGGCCGGCGATAAAATAGGATGAACAAACGAGCTCGAAGGAGTACGCGTCCGACGCGGAGGATAATCTACACGGAGGATCAGGATGAGGAGGTTGGCAGCCGTCAACCTAAGCAGCCAACCAAGCCTCTGAAACCGATACCCAAGAAAACGGTGGACACAGTCGACAGCTCCAGTCTTAGTGGCCTGGAAGACTCGCCTTCGGGTTCGTTGGCTGGAGAACCTGACGCGTGCTTACTCGAGGAAAGTCTTGCTCTTCCGCTCCGGATCATCAACACAGCCGGCCGAGCACATTCTGTGTCGTATCACACATCCCATCTGCCACAAGATCGACATCTGCTCACGTCTCGGGACCCGCCTTCAAGCAGCCTGCAAGCCAGCTTACTCGCTTGGTTTGACTTGGTCAAGGGGAATCGCGAGATGCCTTGGCGGAAAGAAGTCGTGGGAATAGCAAACTGGACCGAACAGCAGAAGGGACAGAGAGCCTATGAGGTCAGCATTCACTCCTATTTATATGTCTTTGGTCTGGTCTTCCTCCAAGCCCAAACAACCAGCTTATGATATCCTCTCTCTCTTGCGTGATCACTGTAGGTCTGGGTCAGTGAAATTATGCGTGCGTTCGCTCGAGATCCATATTGAGGACAAAATTTCCAAGTGGATGTTGATGTGTATCTCGAAAACTCTCTTACACGTGGCCGCGAGTTCAGTCCAACAAACCCAAGTTGAAACTGGTGCGTAGGACGATTAATCTCCATCCCCCTTCGTACCTTATGGACTGACTTTTCTCCCGAGAGATTTCACCAGTCAAATCATACTACCGTAAGTCAGCCTTACATCAATTATCCCGTCATCTACTGCTTCTCATTACCATCCTCCTAACAAATTTTTCACAGTCAGATGGATGACACGGTTTCCGACGATATTTGATCTGGCCAAGGCGGACGTTGAGCAAGTGAATGAGTGTTGGCAAGGTGTGTGACATCCCGAATTGGGGATTGATGAAAGGTTGGTTATCCTCACTCCCTCTTTTGGCTTCCATCCTTTATTTCATTCAGGACTCGGCTACTATTCTCGGGCGTCACGACTGCTTTCGGGGGCTAAGAAAGTCGTCGAGCGGTTTGCTGGGGTCCTACCCGAAGACCCGCTAGTTATGGAAAAGGAAGTGGACGGGATGTGAGTTTGGGCTTTGTTGGGCATATCATTTCTTCCGGATGAGGCACAAATCGGTCCGTTTTCTAATCAGTCTGCCATTTTTTTATCTGTGTTGGTGGTGTGGCCACAACTAAAAGAGGTCCATATAGTGCTGGTGCGATAGCCTCCATTGCCTACGCAAAGCAAGTTCCCATGGTGGATGGCAATGTCCACCGAGTGCTTTCACGTCAGTGGCCCTAACCCTTTCAGACCATGTTTGTAAGACGTGCTGAGCGTTGTTGCTTGCATCCTACCATATCCTTACAGGCATTACCGCTTTATACGCACCGCAAGCCGCTAAGGCTACCACCAAATTCCTGTGGTCTATCGCTGCCGCACTTGTCCCTCAAGATCGACCCGGGGACTTCAATCAGGCTTTGATGGAACTGGGCGCTACTGTCTGCAAGCCCCGTGAAGCAAATTGTACTTCCTGTCCTCTCTCCAAATGGTGTAGAGCATATCAAGAAGTTCGTCACAAGTTCTACTAGGATTGGAATTTTTTTAACATGTGTTACTCGCGTTTGTCAGAAGCAAGTCCTGTGTGTCCTGGAAGGTGGCCAACAGACCCATCCGAGCAGACTCAAAAGGAGAGTCGTCGATGACGAAGATATCGAGGACGTCTGTAATCTCTGTCAGCCTCTAGAATCGCTCCGCGCCTCGTCAGGAGCCTCCTCTAGTGATGGGCACGTTTTGATATATCCTATGGCCAAGGAGCGCAAGAAACCTGCTCTCAGGGAGGTCGCTGTCTCTCTCGTCATTTGGAAAGAATCCGCGCCCGAAGATCAGATGGAGTCCTCATTGGAAAACACTCCATTATCAACAGGCCAGGCCAAAGCACTGCTGATCAAACGTCCCGAAAAAGGTAAAACTTACCTTCTTTCTATCTTTGTTTCATTTAACTTGGTGGCACAATTTTTTTCATGTATATTTTTCATCTTAGGACTACTTGCCGGATTATGGGAATTCCCATCGATTGACTTGGCCGAGAGTAATGACTCTACAGCCGACGAGCGCCAAAAGAAGATCGAGAGGCTTCTGGGTAAGACGGTTGTTGGGTTCACGACCGCGATCTCTTCCCGGACGGAGGGAGTGAGTGACGGGTCGAAGTACCAGATTCAGAGGAGCCCGGTCCAGTTACCAGACATCGAGCACGTCTTCTCCCACCTCAGAGTCACCTATAAGTCTTCCGTCCTCCTCATCCATTCACCAACCCCACCAACACTCCAAAATCCCTCACTACCTGACCGTCCCGCTGCATCCGGCCAGGCCATTTGGTCCCCCTGCAACGATATCTTGACCGCCAACCTCGGTAACCCTCATAAGAAGGTCTGGAATGCCTGGCTCACTCATTCTGATCTCTCCCCCTCCTCCATCCCTTCTTCCTCAAAACCTCGTAAACGCAAATCTTCCGCTCTCAACGATCCTCATGCGTAACCTAATCTGCTTGCTTACTGTCTTTCTTCTGTATCACCTCCGGTCCTGCTCATCACGTATTTCTAACTCGTTTTTTTTTGCTCCACATATAATTTATATAAACACCTGCTTGCACTGTCTACTAGAAAAAAATCAACTAGTAAGTTTTGAGAGGATTTAGGAAAGTCTGAATCGCCTGTATGCATTTAGTCTTTCCTCTCCTAATCTTTCATCCATTTAAGGCGCTTTGTAGAGTGTTTGATCAAGTTTACAACATGGAAAGATGGCACCTTCGAGTATGGCGGCAAAGTTATTGAATAAGAAGCAGATTTCCAAGACTTTTTTTCTGATTCATCCTATTGTATTTTATATAATGTTTGACACATCTTGAGACACCCAGATATTCGCATAACTTCAACTTTGGGATATGGTTGAGAAACAGCAAGACCACTGGTATGCATATTGTGTGGTTTTTGTGTGGTGTGTGCTACCAATTGGTGTATTACACTGGTTCACGGTAGATATACATGCACCTTGAGATGTTTGCAGAGGAAATAAGTTGTGATGGCTTGTGTCTAGCTGATGGATTCAATAACTTACAATTCTGATTTGAAAATATGTGGTGATCAAGATCTTCTTCTTTCACCCTTTGGGATGCTATTGCTCAGGATAGATGATCCCAAAAGAACATGAATGCTAAAATCAGAGCCGGGAAAATTGGGTGACTTATGAGTCCCTGGAATGTACATCTCTCACCAGCAGACTCAGGTAATTCAATTATGCAAGTTCCTGCATCTCCTGCCAAGATTGTCATAGAAAAAACTTGCAAGTGCCCTGCTAAGCAGGTGCAAGTCAAAACGGAAACTAGGAAAATAGCAGAGATAAAGAAATTAGATTGTGAGGTCATCAGCTAAGCGTTGAGAGAACAAACATGCGCTGAGGAATCCGAGGAGAATGGAACAAATGGAATCACTTGTAGCATACAGCAAAACAGTCATCTAAAGTAATGGATATTTTAAAAAAAATAGAACGGTGCAAGGATGATAGCCCTCAACTTCAAAAGAAAAAAGAATCATGAGAAAGATACAAGAAAAGGAATCACTTGTAACAGATTGGCGAGCCTGTGAAATTGAGGAAAGGAGAAAGATAAGATGTAGGATTCAAAAGTAAATATTAACCAACACTTCCAAGCCTTGACATTTGGATTTGTTGGCCAAAGTGTTTGTAGGCTTGGGGTAGTATACTACAATCCGTACTTTCCACCACGTCCACCGCTGCTGCCCCTGTAGCCCCTGTAGCCTCCGTAATAACCGCCATCGCCTGAGTCGAACGGGACATGGAAGCCGTAATGGAGGACCAGGAGGATGATACCTAGGAGGATCAAAGCCCCGAGAGTAATGAGTATAGCACAACAGTTGGCATCAACATCACCACGGCTTCTAGTTAGAGCTCGGTCCTCGTGTATGGCGATTGCCATAGGGAATCGTGTGGATTGTTGCACTTGATATGCCGGAACTTTTGACCCGGTGGTCGCCCCCTGAACGTGCAAACAAATTGTTCAAGATAATTCAGGCCAATGCTTGAAACGGCTCTTGAATCTGTGAACACCACTTACGTATTGTTTTTGCTGTTCGGACAGTCTTCCATAATAGTCAGTTGCGGTCTCACCAGGTTGCTGCACTGCGATGGAAGAAGATCCTTCGTCTGATTTTACATCGATCGTGTCGGCTGCGTGCAATGAAAGGTGGGGGGGATCTTCACCTCGAAATCCGGCCCGAGCTGAACGCACTGGCGGGCCAATACTTGAAGTTGGAGGCAGGGGATGCGACTTTTCCATTGCAACATATTGACCAACAAGCTAATCAAGAAAACCATGAGTTTGTTGCTTCAGCGCCAGATCCCAGACAACTTCTAGACAACCAAACTGACTAGGACAAGCAACCAAATGGATATCATGATGAGAAGCTTGAGGATTTTCTCCAACAGTTGATGGTGCAGATTTATCAAGTCAAATCACTAACTGAAGGCAATTTCTTGGATTCGGTTTAGTCTGGGGATACTGAACTGGCCATAGTCCTTCTTTTATTATCGGAGCGTGTGGGACTTCAGCAACCTGTGAACTGCGAGTACAGTTCTATGCGATTGGCTGGTACAAGTCCCCCTGAAGCCGCCCCGACTCTCTTGTTGATCAATCCCCTGCCATTATGTGTACCTGGCACGTACGATCGCACTGCTACTCATTGATCAGTTTGGCGGGATTCCGGTGAAGCGCTGAGTATTGTAGCAAGGACACAATTGCTACGACTTGAGCCGGCAGTTTGATTAGGGAGCGTCAGAATGAGACACAACTGAGTTCTTGTATTCGGCTAACCAAGTACTCCGCAGCGCTAACTTAACTTATAAGTCCCCCTATTGGAGGGGGGACGCTGTCCCGTCCGGTCGGCGCAATGCGACAAGTGGTTTACCACTCCGACCAGGAAGGGAAGGGATTAGTTAATTTAGTCCGCAGCGCTTCTCTCAATCCAGTTTGTCTGCGGAGAATTCATTACCCACTGATCTCCGGCCGCTGCTGTCGAGCGGTACTCTGTAGGAAGTCCCTTCTGAGTGTAAGCAGCTAGCTGCATGGACTTCATCTTCCTCCCGCGGTGGTTTGAGTAAGGGACAGTTATCCTCTACAGGCCATCGAGGGGAGCATGCACTCCACCCAAAATAACCAAGAGAAAGGGAGGGGAGAGGCCAACTGGACATAGAGTAACGTGGATGGCTGAGTGGAACAAGGTTGATGCTGTAGCCTTAGGTGTCGGCCTTCAACTCGAGGAGAACATAGAAGCCTCATACCAATTTAGAATCATTAAGGCTGAAGCTGAAATTATTTCAGCTGAATTTCTTTCAATGTATTACATTAGCACTACTGAAAAGTTGAAAACTTACTCGTTTGCATACACAAATATCAGTTTCTGGTAAGCGGGTTCAAGTTAAATCTGGGAAGCAGCACAAAACCATTGGGCCCAACCAAACATGTAAAGGTTAACAAGCAATGCATCAAAAATTAGTTAAATCCAAAAACCAAGTCAATATGCAAAGCCTCTGTAACCTAATAACCATTCATGATTTGCTGAGAAGCATTTCTCTGATTGAGCATATTGATGTTCAATTTCGTTCACCTTTTTCATTATTAAAATATTCCTCAATTAAGTCCAGAAGATTTGATAGGATCGATTTCCTGTTTTTGGATTTGAGAGGGTAACTGCATCTGCCTGGGGTTACAAACCCCTTAATTGTTCTGTTCATGAAAGGTTGGTCTGTTGGCTGCTGTTAAACAATATAAAGATCAAAGAATTTTTTTACCATTTGGCTTGAAAAAGATTTCATCTTGGATTCTCTCTGCAAGTATCTAATCAAAAATTGTAGAATGTTCTATTAGGTGAAATTCTAAGAAGAAAACTATTGAGAAAGAAAATTTCACAATCATAACACAAGATTCAAGTAATAGAACATTTATGCAATGAGCAAAATGCATACATTGACATGGTAAACTAATTGAAGCATATGCACACTTTTTCAACAGAACCACCGTTCCTGAAGCAAATTCAAAAATTAATGCAAAAGAAAAAATGACCTGTGAAAGAATGATAAGGAAAAAAAATCAATGCAGAAATGGGAAGAAACCCCGACTCTAATGGATTGATGTAGATGGCTGAGATTTAGGAAAACTGATAGGGAACATTTGGTACAGTCTAGAAGCAAAAATTTCTGTAGAACTAAGTGTATGATTCTATGGATTCCCAAATTCCCAGTTGCCATAGCCCTCATCTTTCAGTTGGTTGGCAAGGTGTTTGCTGGTGCATGGGCTGAGCTAATAGTGAACATAACAGTGACAATACCTCCCATTTCAGACATGCCTGCGTATATAAGAGCTAAATAAAACCCCGTTACCGGTCGATTTTCCAATGATCGCGAGGGCTATCAAGACAGCGATAGAGAAAATTGACAGCCCAATAATTTGATTACAAAGTCCATCACAGGAGTTTCCACTGAGATCAGTTTGCTCTCGGACTTGAACATTGGTTTTGGAAGTTGCTGCCATGGGAATTCCTTTGGCGTGAATTTGCTCCTGATTCATGGTAACTGAGAGGTCTTTTGGACCGGAGGTATTGCCCTAAGCATTTCAACAGATGATGCATAAATCCTTCAGACCATGTCTCGAAGTGGCTTTTGAATCCGTGAACAACACTCACGTAATGCGCTTGCTGTTGAGCCGTTCTTTCATGAAGTTCAATTTCTTTCTCCCTAGGTTCCTGCATAGTAATGGAAGAACATCCCTCGTCTGATCTTATATCGATCGTGTGGGCTGCAGGCAATGAAATGTAGGGATTCGTCTCTCGGATTCCAGCCCGATCTGAAGGCACTGGCGGGCCGATGCTTGAGGGCCGGGGATGAGGCCCTTCCATTGCAACATATTGACTAACAAGCTAATTCAGAAAAACATGAGCTTTTCAGCTCATAGATAGTATCAAGGCAAATTGGAGACAACCAAACTGACCAGGAAAAGCAACCAAATGGAAATCATGATGAGAAGCTTGAGAAATGTTTGCAAGAATTGATGGTGTAAATTTATCAAGTCAAGTCACTAGACTAAACTGAAATGCTTTGAGATGGTGTTGTCTGGGGGGTCAACCCAATCAATCAAAGCATCCCAATTTTATGCTAGCAGTTGGAATAATGTAGTGACATGTTTCATGAGTTTGGAGTTGAGATATTTGTGATTGGCTGGTACAAGTCTTCATGAAGCCACTCAGACTCTCTTTTCAATTGATCCATACCCATGGTCTGTGCTTGGTATACATATTTGCAGCCTGTTTTAGATGGTGTTTCCTTGATTCAAGGCACATATTTTTTTAGAATTAATGGTACAGCAGGAAAGGATTTTACAACCCTGTATTTTTCTCATGAGTCAGCCAAACATTACTATCAAGCTTGATTCATGATGATATCTAAGTCAAGCCGAGGCAAACCAAATATGTACTGAAAAAAGGGCAATTCATATTGAAAATTGTCACAAAACAATATTTGGTGATGTTTCACAAAGTTGACAGATTATGGACAATTTTTGAAAAAGTTTGATTGAGGAATTTTTCCAAATTTAATAAATCCCTGGCATGTCAGTAGAGGTTATTTTTAGTAATTTTTAGCATAATCAGTGCAATATAAGCAGTATATGAACTACTTTCAATCCTTAAGTCCAATGGGGGGGGGTTATGTATGCACTGCTAATTTTTGAAGTGAGCAGTTGGAATTTGTTAAAATCAACCTTTACTGATTTCATGTGAAAGTGTTTTAAAGTACCCAGGGTAGCTCCCTTTAGAATGCCTGCTGATACCAGACTTTAATTGAACTGAAAATATTTCGTAATCAGAAGGCCTTTCCTCAAAATCAAAGGTGAAATCACTATTATCCCAATCTACATACCTTAACAAAGTCTTTCTTCCCCCTTCAGGATCCTCATGGCATGCTCTCTGTGGGAAGGGCTTACTAAAAGTGAACTGCTGACACATAATTTTTGAAGCTTTACATGTTGAGGGTAACATAGGTGACACAAGATCTAAGAGAGATGACGAGATGTCATGGACATGGTCCAGCACATTGAGTCAAGATGTAATTATCATTTTGTAAGGAAGTGGAATCACCAAGGGCACAACTAGGCTATATACATGTACAATATAGGCTAAGTTGTGGGTGTATAGGTTAGAAGCATACAACATAAGGAAATGCTAATAGACTATCTCAACATTACATGGGCAGAGGAAAGCTATTTTTAAGAAACAAGATACATAAAACTGAATAGACACTTTTTAATTCATTGAACTTGAGCAATTATTGGTGATTTGGTTATTAGACTGGACACCAAGCGAGCTAGGTAATAATTGTTATTAGAAATTTGCAGCCAAGGGGTGCTTGCTTGAAATTTGCATTTCTAAATTCCCTGGCAGTAGTGGTACTGGTAGGGGCACATTTGTGGCCAACTGCACAAAACTCCCACCAGGGAGCTGAATTCAGCACCACCAATCATGGGTTTCAGCGCTAACATAAGGAGTAACTATGTCTTAAAATGTACCCTCTCTTACACCCACCTCACAAGAAAAAACCACACATCAAAATCAAGTCCACACTCTCAAATCTAGCATCAAAAATAGGGCTTGGAAATGGCAAAAAGCAGTGAAGACTTTGCACAAACTGCCAAAAAGATCTGAACAGAGTGGGATTCGAACCCACGCCCGAAGACCGCCGGACTACCGCCGGATCGCCTCTCGACGTCCTGGCGCCTCTCGACGTCCTGGCGAACTCCTTAAGACGGCGCCTTAGACCACTCGGCCATCTGTCCCTGAACTATGACGTCTCACCTGACCAGCACTGGCCAGGCAAACTCTTGGTTGATTTGGTTGAATGAGGTTGTCTGCCACTGTGGACGGAAGGAGCGACTCTGGAAGTCTACCACGTATAATTTTTCAGACCGGAAGACTCGGGTCACGAAGCGCACAGGATACTCGAGGATGAAAACGACCGGCGACGATGGTCTGTCGAGTCAGCCAGTCATAGGACTCTCGGAGAAAGTGATCGGGAAGATGAAGGAGAAAGAGGACCGGGCCGGAGGACTACTAGGACAACGAAAATCAATCCTGAATAGCAGCAGCAGTAGCAGTAGCAGTAGTAGTAGTAGCAGTGGTCAAGATGTCAAGACAACAACAACCAAGGAGAACACGATCAGTCAGGCTGGATTCGATGGCGCAGGGAAATATCTTCTATCGGGAGGGATAGCCGGCGCAGTCTCCAGAACAGCAACGGCGCCATTCGACCGGCTGAAGGTCTATCTAATCACCGCCCAACCGAGAATGAACGCGGAGCGGACGAGTCGAACGATAATGGGCAGAGGGGGCAGCATGACGAACCTGATAGAGTCACTCAAGTCGATCTACAACGAACATTCCAAATGTCAGATCAACGCCCATCACCCAAAGCCGCATTCCTGGGGTCTCCGTAACTTCTTCATCGGAAACGGCCTCAACGTCATCAAGGTCTTCCCCGAATCCGCCATCAAGTTCTTCGTCTACGAGTACGCTAAAAACTTCCTCTTCCATCCTCCGAATCATCCCTCCCCGCACCCCGATGAGCATCGCTCTAATCTCGTCAGGTTCATGGCCGGCGGCTTGGCTGGGGTGGTGAGTCAAGTCTTAATCTATCCGATCGAGACACTCAGTCAGTCTTCCCACTTCTTCTTCTTCTTCTTCTTCTTCTATCTTTCTCTCTATATCCTTGATTTGGTTCTATCTAAAAATGTCATTTTTTATTTTTGTAGAGACTCAATTGATGAGTAGTACCATCAACGAATCATTTCAAGGTCGTGCACTCCTAGTTTATACGATCAAAAGGCTCTACCAAACTGGCGGAGTAAGGGGTTATTACAAAGGTCTGATGGCCGCGACAATGGGCGTATTTCCATACTCAGGTATTTTGTTTTACATCTCTCTCTCTCAATCCTCATTAAAAATGGCCTTTTTTTTGGCTTAAGTGAAACTCTTGAGGAAACTGATGATCTCCAAGATGAATTGACAAAAATCAACACAAATCCGAAAACGTTATTGATGACAATGGAATAAAAAACGTAGCGATAGATATGTCAGCGTTTGAGGCTTTAAAACGGGCCTACAAAACGGCGTCTGGGACGGAAGACGAGACGGGCGTCTTAGCGACACTATTGTGTGGAGCGATAAGTGGGGGGGTAGGAGCGACGGTAGTATATCCCTTGTGAGTGGAGCGGCAGTTTTCCAAACCAGGAGAACAAGTTTTATAGAAAAAAAAAAGGGAGGGGCGGGGCTGACGAGAAAGAAATGAATGACAGGAATGTAGTCCGGACGCGCCTACAAGCCCAAGGGACGCCGTACCATCCGCAACGATACGCAGGCATCCTTGATTGTGTCCGCCGGACATTCCTCCACGAACGCTGGAGAGGCTTCTATCGCGGCCTCGCGCCCTCCCTCCTCAAGGTCGTCCCCGCCGTCAGCATCAGTTGGCTCGTCTATGAACAGAGCAATCGCACCCTTGAACAGCTCCTCGGTTGACCTCGCTACCCTCCTTTCTCTTCGGTCTTGTCTCTGGCCCCCACCTCTTCTCTCTCTCTCTCTCCTGTTAAGCCCTTCCTTGAGGAATACCTCCTTTCTTCCCTCCTGTCGTTTTACGAACACCTTCCTAACTCTCTTCTCTTTTCCCCTCTTTCCATCCTTTTGTTCTCCTTTAAGCCTTGGTATTTTTTCTTTTTGTTCTTGATAACACTCGTAATTTTCTTTTTCTTATTTTTGATTTGTTGGGCTTTTTGGCGTGTGTTCCTTCACACACACAATATATATATATATATATTCATATTATTATTTTCTTCCCTAGACATATAAACAAGGATACATACATATAAAAAGGGGCTTGGTTAATCGACTCCCCAAAATTGGAGAGTTGACTCCCAAACCCCGAAACCCCCGAAATTAGGGAGTCGATCCCCCAAAACCGTCGACCGGTTTGGGAGTCGACTCCCTAAGAATTTAATAAAAAAAAAATAAAAACCCCAATAAAAACCCCCGGTTGGTTTGGGAGTTGATCCTCCCAAACCGACCAGGGTTTGGGGGTCGATAAACCAAATCAACCCCCACCCCACGGCAGCGGCCGGGAGGCATCCTCCCGGCCGCGAGACCGCATTCTCAACGGCCAAGAGGGGAAACCCTCTCGGCCGTTGAGGGTATGTACACTCTCGACGCCGAGAGGGTTTCTCCTCTCGGCCGTCGAGGTGTACACTCTCAACGGCTGAGAGGAGAAACCCTCTCGTCTGTTGAGGGTATGTACACTCTCGACCCCGAGAGGGTTTCCCCTCGCCGTCGAGAGCTCTCAACGGCCGAGAGGTGAAACTCACACTCTCAACGGCCGGGAGGGTTTCTCCTCTCAGCCGGAGAGTGTGTACCTCGACGGCCGAGAGGAGAAACTCTCGGCCGTTGAGAGTGTATACTCTCGACGGCGAGATTTCGGGGGTTTCGGGGTTTGGGAGTCGACTCTCCAATTTTGGGGAGTCGATTAACCAAGCCCCTAATAATAATAATTTTCTTAGGGAGTCGACTCCCAAACCAATCAAAGGGTTTGGAGGACCGACTCCAAAAAAACGGGGAAAAAAAAAATTAGGGGGCTTGACGTCCTGAGGACCGTCCGCAGACAGTCCTCCGGACGTCCCCAAAATTTGGGAGTCGGAACTCCAAATTTTGGGAGTCGTTTAACTAAGACCCTAGATCTGTTGTGATACACAAAATAAACAGAAAGACTAGGCCAAAAAAAAATCATTTGATCACTCACATTACCTAAGAAACTGGTAGGGGATCAGGGAGCCAATACAATGAGAATCGATGGAAAGATGCTCTTTTTCTGCTAGGAAATTCTCATCAAGTTTCTTTGAGAAAATAAAAGCAAAACCACAGCTTTAATGGAATAAGGAAAGTGGTCTCTGGTGGGGGCCCATGTGTTACATGTGGTACAATTCATTTGAGGAAGAACATCAGCTTCAGTGGACTTTTAGGTTAGCCAGAGTAATGGCTGATTTGGCCAGCATTTTTGAATTTTTGACTAGATGACTATAAACACTATCATATGAATTATGATGGTGGCTGGAGTCCTGAAGAGTGTGCTTGCAATACCACTGGCCCCAGGATACATGATTATGATTGGTGGGTAGATACAAGTCTATATAATGATCACCACCAGAACTATTTCCCAGTAATGATCCACCTTCAGGCCATCTTAGAAAATAATAAGGACCCAGCTTCATAAAGGGGTTTGAAATCAGGTATGCTTGTTCTGGGGAAATCTGTTGTACCTTGAGCTTAGTTTAAGGAAGCATGTCATCCTGAAAATCATCAATAAGATATATCCTCTTGAGAACAATATACGAAGGAAATTTAATGAGACCATTGGTACTATTTGTGTTCAATTGATTGGAAAAATTGGTAATCTTCCTCATTGATTCTTCTGGACAGAATTTTTTCCTTCATGGTCAAGGGTTGAGTATGATTACTATTTTGCTCTGAATGAATTAGATTCCCTCTGAGCGTTTTATTCTGACAAGATATGTCATTTGATGGAACAAAGGCTTGTCGGGTTATTTAGCCAACCATTAACTTGTATGAAACCAAAGGGATTAATGTGGGTATGTTGGAACCTTTGATGATGGCAAACAGTGCAGAAATGGTAAAAAAAAAATTGTGTGGTGGTCCTTTTTAAATTTCCTGTTTCATCCTGTCTGGTTTGATGGACCTGGCACTCATTGACCTTGGAACCTGTCAATGAGATTTAATTCTTGTGGTGCTCTGGGGTTTGATGGGCTTGCAGAATTCTTCTCAAGGAGATTCAGTTCTGGTAGCACTACTGCTTCTCTGTTGACATGATATTTTGTACACAAGTTGGTGGTTCGTGCTTCAAGTAATACCCAGTTTGCACGGTGATATCTGTAGCAATTTTCACATTGGAAATAAACCTTGCTGCGCCAATTTCGACAGTAACCCTGAGTTGTGCCTTCAACATAGGGTCCACAAACACCTTCAAATGAGAGCCTGTTTGCTTTAACCACTTCATATGGTACCACAGGACACAATTGACTGCAATTGATACAAGGAGATTTTATATCCTTAATACTTTCAGTATCCATGGAAGAGGCAGGTAGGAGAAGCTGTAAGATGATACTGCAGGTAATGATAAGGTTTCTCATGCTTATTGGGATCATTTGTATTGTCCGGACCTTGGTAGTTTTGAGGCTTGGGTAGGACTTAGATGGGGGTTGAACTGGTTATGTACTGGAAATAGGGAATTGGGAGCAGATTTTAATGTGCTACTATGCTGTTGTGCTATGTGTGTTTGCACTGCAAATTGCACTCCATATCTGTATCATGTGGCATTTCATGCAGAGAATTTTCAATTTTGCATTCATCTTCACAAATATCTTGAACCATCAGTAAATTCAAATCTAATAGTGTGTAGATTTTGAACTTCAAAATTCAAAGATTCTCCACTTTTGTACCATGATGAGCTTCCTATAAATTATCTTCCAGGTCAATTTCCATTACTCTAGCATATCATCTCATGAACCACTGCATCACCATAGAACCAGCAGAAAAGCCTGTCACTGGTAGTGTAGCTCTGCTATGCAACACGTTCATTGATAAGCGCACACCTTCCCCCTTCCCGCCCGGTGCCCGCCCACACCCCCACCCCTTCAAAAGGGGCAGGAAGTAAGACCTGCCCTTCTTTTTGGGAAGGTTGTGCTACACACCCCTCTGTTTGCTGACATTTTCAAAAAGAGGGGTGTGCAGTACAACCCGCCCAAAAAAGGGCGGGTTGGCCTGCACAACTGGCTTGGAGGTCCAGGAGCTTTCCCTCCCGGAAATCAAGACTGTACAAGTCTTGAATACTGGGAGGAATCACTCCCGGCTATCAAGACTGTACAAGTCTCAAAGACCAGTATAAGACTCAAAAGTGGTTGTGAGAACCCTTTTGCTGAATGTTGAAGGGTATGGTGGAGTTGCAAGTTCTGCCCTTCTGTACTATTAGATAACAAAACCCACCAAGCTCATCTTGGCAAGTTTTGATCAAGTGATAGGGGTGGTTAGTTTGAGAAAAAGTTGTTTGATCAAAATTTAATTGTGTGAGAAAAGAGTTTTTGAGAGTATGATAGTGAATTTAGTGTGTGTTACAAGTGTAAGGGTTGTTATAAGGTGTTACAAGAGCTGTTACAGTATGTAATGTTAATGGTATGGTATGTGATGGTAGGGGGTATGTAATTGGTGGGTACTAAACTGAGGGGAAAAACAACTTGTTGGAATTGCACAGCTGAATCCCATCTCAAATCCTTATTTCTGTTCTCTATTTTCTTTCTGTCTTTTTCTCCTCTATCCTTTTTTCCGCTCTCCTCGCTCTCCCGCTCTCATTTCTCTTTTTTCCACTCTCCTCGCTCTCTACGCTCTGGCTCTCCTCGCTCTCCCGCTCTCATCTCTCTTTTCTCTAAACCTATACTCTCTCATCATCATTCTTAACCTAACATCTACTATCTCACAACCACAACTTGACTTACATACTCTCTCATATAAATACTCTCCTCTCCATGATCCTCACTTTCCAAATCAGCAGTCTCCCTAAAAATCATCTTCTCATCAATCAACAACATCCACCAAACTGATCAAACTGACTCGCCCCCAACAACTTCATCCGAATCTATCTCAACTGCTCACTACTATACCCTCACGTACCTCCCTCAACATTCCTCTCATCACCATCTCCATCCGTCTTCGCTTCTTCTCTTCTCTTCTTCTCTACCTTCTTTCAACAATATCTCTCATCACTCGCTCTCATCAACATCGTCTTCAACTCAACTCTCAGCACTCACCTCTGCTAATCACTCCAACCATCTTTATTGATACACTCTCCTGGCTCTTGCCAATTTGGTGAGAAAACAATTGACTTCGATCTCTTGTTCTCTTCGTCTCATCAACTCTAACCTTTTTTTATCTCTCTCTGTTTTTGATCTCTTTAAATAGTGTCTACTATTTCAGTCTCTTTGATCTTTTGTACTTCAGCTTGCTTGTTCTGTCTAACTCAAACAAAAAGTCTTATCGTGGTATGCTTAAATTTCCTAAAAACTTCAACTGTTCTTTGAAAAGATTGTTCTTGTTCTTTTTTAACATTGTTTGCTCTTTTTTAGCTCTGGTTCTAGTTTCAGTAATCATCCTGTTATTCAATACAACTGGGAGGAGATCCTCCTTAAATAGACAACAATGAGGGATTTTGGCTCCAAGGGAGCAAGATAATGAGAGATTTTAGCTGGTCAGAGCTTTAAAATGAGGTAATTTAGCTGGCCTAACCATTCACCTGCGGCATTTTGGCTAGAGAAAGCTGTGTACATGAGATGTGTTGGCTGGTTGTACAGCCTGTGTAATGTAATTAGCCTGCTTAATGTAATTTGAGTTATTTTAGATAGAAGAGGCAGTGTACATGAGGGGTTGTGCTTGCCTAGCAATCTGCATGAGGTATTTTAGAGATGGCCCTTGCGCATCCGGATATCTGCGCGGATGCGGATAATATCCGGCTGCTTTTTCCAGGGAAACCGCCATCCGCACCCGCATCCGCATCCGCCGGTGGGTATCCCCCCGCCTTTGCGGGTATCCGAGCGGGTATCTTCAGATACCCACCACTTGCAAAGGGTGGTTGGAGGGGCCAAGGATTGCAATCTGATTTTCCTCTCACAATAAACAACACCAATTCATTTGTTTTTTTTTCAGGCTCAAAGAAGAATCAAGGAACATATCAGACAAGAGCGTGTTTGGGAGAACATGCAGCATCCGATTGAATTCTCTCCCGAACGTTTTGGAAGGGTGAAGATGTTGTATGTGCACATTGAGGTGAACAGGCATCTAGTCAAAGCCTTCATCAATTTGGGTGCCCAAATGACAATCAGTCAAGACCTTCTTTAGCTTTTATTCCATAAAATTATGTTTAACATCCCTGATTCTTTTTTTTTCTAGTGAGTCTGAAGTGTGCTCAGACTACCGGTTTAGCCTTCCGACATTTATTAGTTTAAAAAGAACAATGAATGCTATCAATTCTTTTCTGTTGATTTTTACCTGAAACAAGATCCACATTTCTTTCTTTTTTCTTTGGAGTCCTTGTTAGCATCCTTTGGTATCTGTAAAATTATGTGGTTGAGGAAAACCGATGCAGACAAAGATCTTTAACAAACAAAGAAAGAAGACATCTAGAATATACAGGGAGATGTAAAAAGAGGAAGAGCAACCAGAACAAAAAAAGGAACACATTCTATGGAAGGCGGAGAGGGATTAGGAGAGTGAAGACCGTCAGCGCCAGTAGCAGAGAGTCTACCATCATGCAGCAAGCCTCTGAGGGCCGATTTGAGGCTTGATTTATAGTTGGCCTCAAGACAGTTGATCACCTGTTTGAAGTGGACCAAGTCAAGCAAGGCCAGCTGGAAGACTAACAAGACCCTTGTCTTTTGTAGCTCTAGTAAGCCTTGTGATTCGATCACTTTTAGATAGAGCGGTAGGAAGATTGCCAGTGCTTGTTGACCTAGGGATTTTTCACTAGAGCTGACGTTAATAGTTTCAAGATCCTACCCATTTCATCAATCTCCTTCAACACCGAAGCCAAAAAATACAGCACAGACTTGAATCCCAATCATCTGGATACATTCTTTCCTCTGATTAATGACCACCTCGCCTTCTTTTATCAGGTCATCCAAGACATCAGGCCTATACAACTCTACCAACTCTACAAAACCAATACATAATCAACCCATCAGCCGTCTTGTTACAAAGGATGGATTCAGAGAGAGAGAGAGAGAAAGGGGGGGAATGGTACCAGATAATGATTTGCGCTGTAAGTTGTCCCTCGAATGGGCTACTAACTTCAAGTTCAACCTGATCGCTTCGGGTACCACATCCATTACCATTTGTTTGACAATATTGAAGTAGGCTGTAAGACTCAAAAGTGGTTGTGAAACCCTTTTGCTGAATTGAGAAGGGGATGATGGAGGTGCAAACTCTGCCCTTCTATACTATCAGAAACAAGACCCCCAAGCTTAGCTTGGAAAGTTTTAATAACGTGATAGGATTGGTTGGTTCCGGTAAAAACTTTGTTTGATGAAAAGTAAAGGTTGAATATATAATTGCTGATAAAAGAAACTGTTATGTTATGTAACAGGTGAAAGGCTTATATAAGGTTGTGTAATAATTTGTGCTGTAACTTGCTGAGTGATTGAGTGACTAATGAGTAGATGAGTTGAGGAGACAACAAATGGGGGGAAGAGAGCCCCCTTTTATAGACAAAATTGAGGTAATTTAGCTTCAGGGAAGACTAGAAAGAGTGATTTTTAGCTGGCCTGTAGGTACAAATGAGTGAATTTAGCTAGTCTGATCGTGCAAGTGAGGGAAATTGACTAGTGAGGCTGTGTACAATTAATGTCAAAGGCTGTGCTGCAGTGCGTAAATAATGTGAGAAAGTGTCAAATGAGGCAATAAATTGTGGGGAAAATCCAGCTGCGGTCATAAGTGAGGTGAGAAAATTGATAAACTGTGGGAAAAGTAATTCAATCAAGACTGCACAGCCTGCAAAGGCAGTGCATGAGGTGACAAAATAGAACCAAAATAATTTATGCAGTGGAGATAAAGAGGTGTGGGAAATTATGTGTATACCGTGAGCTGCTTATAAGCATAACTGAGAGGTGATTTGAGGATTGTGACATGTGCTTGACCGGGTATTGGCTTTGTGATATGTGTCCGTAGAGGTGTAACTTCCAATCCATGAGTGTTCCAAGGATGCGTCCAGTGGTGACCTAGGCTGAAATTGTCCGTAGAGTCCATTTCTGAAGCCGTATTGGTTGATTTCTGAAAGAATATATGAGAAAAAATGTATAAAGGAAAAATTTTGAATTTTTTACATATTAAATTACCACAACATGAGCTAATCAAGACTAAAACCAATCAAATGCAGAACCAAAGACAATCAACTTGAGGTTGTTAAGCTGAGTGAGAGGTCAGAAATACCTCTCGGCTGGAAGGAAGACCTTCTGGTCGACAAGGTTGTGCCTCGTCGACCTTGAGACGGTACAGTCTTGGCCGAGAGGGGTTCCTCTTGGCCTCGAGACTGTACAAGGTCTCAAGGCTGGGTCCCTCTGACGGGTATCCATGGAGATACCCGTATACCCGCCAGGATTCCAAGGAGAATGGGGCATCCACACCCAAATCCAAATCCTCTGGCGGGTATCCGCTGGGCCTGGCGGGTATCTGCCAGCAAATAACGGGTATCCGCAACGGATACCCTGAGGCCATCTCTAAGGTATTTCAACTAAATTGACAGCTTCAGGAAGATTATCACATGACCTGACAAGCTGCATGATGTTACATGCAGGTCCAAAGTGGTACCACACAAAGGCTACATATGTCAACTGTCAGAAGATGGTGGTGTGATGTGTATACCTAGGTCCTGTAGTGAAGTATTTGTGTAAGTTGTATTGTGTAGCTGTCCTGTGTAGTGGATTGAGTGTAATTGAGTGTTGTACATGTCCAGAGGTGTGTAACATCCAAGCCAGTAGAGTCACAGAGATGCCTCCAGTGATGATCATGGGTGAAATGGGGCCTAGACTCCCTTTCTTCAGTCCAAATAAGTGTTAATTGAGAGGAAATATAAGGAAAAATGATACAGAAAAGAATAATAAAAAGAAATAATAAAAAAACTTTGAGCTTTTACACATTCAGCTACCACACCGGGAGGAACCTCTCCTGGCTATCAAGACTGTACAAGTCTCAAAGACCTGGCAGAATCCCTCCCGGCTATCAAGACTGTACCAGTCTGAAATCATTGGCATTGGTAAAATTTTTCAAATAGGCTTCAAAGAACAAATATGGAAAATAACAAACAAAAAATAAGGTATGAAAATTGTCAAAAATGAACAAGCACAAAAATTTGATCCAGAAGCAGAAAAAACACATCTAGACCAGCAATCAGAATTGGGTCAGCTATGCTAATGTTAGCATTATTTTAGAACAGTGTAGCATAATTCTGCTACATTTGGGCCTTGAACAGAAGAGCTGTGCCATTTAATGTGCACTGAACTTGAAGCTATGCACACAGGGCTCAAAAATTTGCACACTAGAATGCAATGCAGCACCATTTATCATAGAATAAACCTGCTCAAGTATCTTGACAACCGGGAGATACCCACCTGGCCATCAAGACTGTACAAGTCTCAAAGGCCAGGAGGAATCCCTCCCGTTCTTTGAGACTTGTACAGTCTTGATAGCCAGGAGCGATTCCGCCCGGTCTTCTAGACTTGTACAGTCTCCATGGCTGGGAGGGATTCCTGCCAGTTGTCAAGACCGTATGGTCTCAACAACAGGGAGATTTCCTCCCGGCCATCAAGACTGTACAGGTCTCAAAGGCGGGGAGGAAAGAGTCATTGGCACACAGATGCAAGCAAAACACTCCAGAGTGTTTTGATTACGTCAGCCCACCATGACTTCTTGGGGGGCAGTTGGCTATGTTGCCTGCCCGTCTCTGAGGGGCGGGTGTGATTGCATGCCCCTCGGAAGCCTGATTCCTTGGAAAATCAGGCTGCCAAGGGGCATGCAATCAAACACGCCCCTCAGAGACGGGCTGGTGCAATTGCACACCCCTTTTGGAGGGGCGGGGAGGCGCAAGTCGAGGTGAGTTCTAGCTTAACATAATCCCCTCAACCAGAGGGCCGGGGGCACCTCGCGAAGCTGCTTCGGACGCTTGCTTCGCGAGGGGCGCTTTGTGCCAGCCTGGCACCAGGCCCTTTGATCGAGGGACTTGTTGTTAAGTTAGAGGTGAGATGAGGTCCCATCAACCCAATTTTTGGGGGAGGGCCAAGACCCGCCCCAAGCCCACCTACCTCTGAGATGGGATGGGTTTGGTCTAGCTTAACACAATCCCCTCGCTTCTGAGGGCTGGGGGGACCCCAGCGTGCCACGGGCACCTTGCAAAGCGAGCCTCCGAAGGAGGGGCTTGCCACCCAAGTCTGAACGTTGGCATGGCCGATTTGGTGTATCTGGTTATTTCCAAGCTTTTGTGAATGTAAATGCACATTGCGTGGACACCTGATGTCCTCGGAAAGTGAGACCAAGAGGCCCTAACAGGCTAGCATCTTGCCTAGCCTGTACTAAAAAAATTTTCTAACCACTTCAAAAACTACATGCTAATCCTTGAACATGAAAGTTGGAATCATGTCTGAAGGAAGAGCAAGTGGAAATCCATGAAAAACTGTATTCGCAAAAAGAGATACTGTAAAAGAATACTGACGGCAGCTGACGGCGGGTAGCTCAATTGGTACAGGGCCAAATTATGTTCAGTAAAGCAATACAGTCCCCATACAGGCAGTATGTCTCAAGAGGTCCGTAATCAAGCATAAAATCATGCCGGCAACCCAAACTTCAATCCAGGATGGCAAGGGGTTGGAAGCCCAATGGCAAGTGATTGTTTGTTGGCCATAGGCGCTGGATCAAGGCCGTTTCAACGATCTCATCGGCCATGGATTTTAGACCATCTCCACCGCGGTCCCTAAATTGGGTCCCTATCCCGCATTTAAGGACCGCGGCCCAAAAAACGCCGCCCACCGCGGTCCCCATCGTCGTCCGTATTTTACGGATTTCATCCTCGGTCCCTCTCCAGACCCTGGATCCAGGGATTGGATAGGGACCATGGATTGTACACCTCAATGTGAATGTCACACGACATTGCACTTCAAACTAGTGTGACAGCCTGTCAACACTACACCGATACCGGTGATTTGAGGACTACCCGGTGTGGCAGAACAGGGTTCCGAGTCCCTATACACATTCCGGGGTCCGTATTTTTGATCGATAGGGACCCGAAAATACGGACCGCGGTGGAGATGGTCTTAGCCAAGGGGTGACAGGGAAAAATCGGAGGCAGATTCCACCCACCAAAATGGTGAAACCGGCCACTTGGAATTTCGGACTTTGGCTGCAAGCCCCTCCTTCGGAGGCTCGCTTCGCGAGGTGCCCGTGGGACGCTGGGGTCCCCCCAGCCCTCAGAAGCGAGGGGGATTGTGTTAAGCGAGGGGTTTGGTCACACTTTGTGAAAATGCAGCCCGCCGCGCCGCGGCCCACCTCTCACAGCAGGGCGGGTTTGAGCAATATTTTTGGGCCCAAGCCCGGCCCATTGCCACCCTGACAGACAGGCAGTTTGAGGAAGGATAAGATTCGTTGCATAACTGAAGAAGAAAAGAAAAAGTTTTTAGCGTACTTGTAGACGAAGAACTTGATGGCGGATTCGGGGAAGACCTTGATGACGTTGAGGCCGTTTCCGATGAAGAAGGTACGGAGACCCCAGGAATGCGGCTTTGGGTGATGGGCGTTGATCTGGCATTTGGAATGTTCGTTGTAGATCGACTTGAGTGACTCCATCAGGTTCGTCATGCTGCCCCCTCTGCCCATTACTGTTCGACTCGTCCGCTCCTCATTCATTCTCGGTTGGGCGGTGATTAGATAGACCTTCAGCCGATCGAATGGCGCCGTTGCTGTTCTGGAGACTCCGCCGGCTATGCCTCCCGATAGAAGATATTTCCCTGCGCCATCGAATCCAGCCTGACTGATCGTGTTCTCCTTGGTTGTTGTTGTCTTGACATCTTGACCACTGCTGCTACTACTGCTACTGCTACTGCTGCTGCTGCTGCTATTCAGGCTTGATTTTCGTTGTCCTAGTAGTCCTCCGGCCCGGTCCTCTTTCTCCTTCATCTTCCCGATCACTTTCTCCGAGAGTCCTATGACTGGCTGACTCGACAGACCATCGTCGCCGGTCGTTTTCATCCTCGAGTATCCTGTGCGCTTCGTGACCCGAGTCTTCCGGTCTGAAAAATTATACGTAGTAGACTTCCAGAGTCGCTCCTTCCGTCCACAGTGGCAGACAACCTCATTCAACCAAATCAACCAAGAGTTTGCCTGGCGAGTGGGGCTCAGGTGAGACGTCACACCACGGTCATTTGCGTGTCGCCGCGGATGTAACCGTCACCTTGACGAATCCGCGTGCGTGACTGCGGCAGTAGGCGCAGTGACTGCGCACGAAACCCCCAATGAAACCCCCAGATGTCGCTCCGCGCGGGAGCGACATGCAATTGTCCGTGGTGTCATGGTCCAAGGACAGATGGCCGAGTGGTCTAAGGCGCCGTCTTAAGGAGGTCGCCAGGACGTCGAGAGGTGTTCCGGCGGTAGTCCGGCGGTCTTCGGGCGTGGGTTCGAATCCCACTCTGTTCAGATCCTTTTGGCAGTCTGTGTAAGGTTAAATCTTGCTTTTTGCCAGTTCAAAACCCTTTGTGATGCTCATCACGAGATTTGAGTGTGGACTTGATTTTAATGTGTGGTTTTTTATTTTGAGGTGGGTGTAAGAGAGGGTACATTTTAAGACATAGTTTGATTGGTGGTGCTGAATACAGCTCCCTGGGGGCCTGGTGGAAGTTTTTTGGTGTGGCAGTGTAGGTGGCCATAAACTTGCCCCTACCAGTACCACTACTGCCAGGGAATTTACAGAGAACAAAAGGACTCACCTAGTCTACACAGGCTGTTCAAGGAAGGATGAGGAAAAGATGAACTTCCTTGAACTGAAAGCAGACCGAGGGTGACTGCACAACAGAGTGTCACAGATATGGCTAAGGAAGATGAACAGGTTGGAGGCAGACAACTCAGAGACAAAGAGAGAAGCTGTGAAACCAGAGAAAAAGACTGTGAAACCCAACAAGTCATTGGCATTGGTAAAATGTTTCAAAATAGGCTTCAAAGAACAAATATGGAAAAATAACAAACAAAAAAATTAGATATGAAAATTGTCAAAAATGAACAAGAAAAACAAAAATTTGATCCAGAAACAGAAAAAACACATCTAGATCAGCAATCAGAATTGGGTCAGCTATGCTAATTTCACGTCTGAGCTTTGAGGCAAATTTAATGACATTTATCATTAAAATTTTACAAATTTGTCAAAAATCTCAAATTCATCCAAACCTGATGATTCATGAGATTTGACAAAATTCATGAAATTTTATCTACAAATGTGCTAAAAACTGCCTTGAACTTCAGATGTGAACTGGCCTAATGGTAGCATTATTTTAGAACAGTGTAGCATAATTCTGCTACATTTGGGCCTTGAACAGAAGAGCTGTGCCATTTAATGTGCACTGAAGATATACACACAGGGCTCAAAAATTTGCACACTTGAATGAGCTTCAGCACCATTTATCATAGAATAAACCTGCTAAAGTAACATTATGTGGTTTGGGCACAATTTAGCCCCCCTATGATTGTGCAAAATTTGAAGTACTCAGTCTGTAACTTGTGTTAGTTGAATTGTTAGCTGTAAATTCTGGCCCATAATTAGGTAAATTCTCATACAGGGACAGAGTCAGGTGAATTTGGAACAGTCAATTCTTGTGGAAAAAAATACTTTGTGTGGCTGGCCTTTTCCAATTCCTTTTTCATCCTCTGAAGCTTGATGGGCCTGGAGCTGATTTAATTTCACCAGGAAACTTCCCAATCAGATTCAATTCAAGTGGTACTTCTGGTTTTTTGTTCACATGACATGGAGAACAATGCTTTCCTGTCCTTTCTTCACTTAGGTCCCAGTTTAGGCTGTGAATTCTGGAGCAAGTCTGGCATTTGAAATATGCCTTACTGCAAAGATTCAAACCGTATCCCTCAGATCTCCCATCAGAGTAGGGGCCACAAACACCATCCAATGGTAGCTTTTTTGCTTTAACCAATTCCATTGGCATAGCAGTACATATTTTTTGACAGTTTGGTGCAACACAGATAGATGCTAAGAATGGACTATTTTCAAGTTCATGGTACTAGGAGAGACAGAGACAAGGAGCTGTAGGATGACACCACAGTTAATTATAAGGTTTCTCATCTTTGTAGGATTCCTTTGTCTTTTTGGGGAATTGTAAACCTTTTTTTTTGCAGACTTGATCATAAAATTGGATGGGGATTGAACTGGAAAGGTGCTGAAATAGTGAACTAAGTACAGATGGTAATGTGCTGCTAGTGCTATGCCACTGTTCTATTATTTATGGCACTTCTGATTGTGCTTCTCATCTGTCACATGAACCATTTCATGCAGGGAATGTTGCATTTTGAATTCATCTGCACACAAGAATTCAACCACTAGTAAATCCAAGTCTATGAAAGTTGTTATTCAGCCCTGAAAACATTTTCACTGAATTATTTTTATCTAAATGGAATCCTTTGATTGGAGTATAGGGGGCAATGGACTGGGTGAAACTGTGGAAAATGAGTTCCAAATAATCATTCTGAAAAGTTGGATAGAAAAAAAAACATTCTTTATATTTTGTTTCTCATTTTTTGACTGTTTTTGGTTTTTTTAAATCATTTTTCAAACTAGCTCAAAAAATTGGTATCAACTCAACTACACCACCGGGTGTGGTGGATGGCATTTGGACACCCAAATGGATGTACCAAATGCCATCCGACTTTGGCCCTGCAAGGAGCATCCATTGGATGCGCTTTTCATTTTGCTGAAGCCAGATGGTAGGGCCAAACCATGAATTGGTGGGGACAAAATAACACCATGTTTGGGCTTGAACTCATGACCTGCAGATAATGTGAGCTTCCACCAGTGATTTAACTGATTGGGTACCTTGCCACTCAACTATATTAGAATTGATGATCGTATGATGGGAAAAATCTCAGCTATAGACCCTGCGCTGCATTTTTGGATTGTTTTTCAGCCATTGACCACCCTCCAAAATCATTTTTTGAAAATCGACCCTTTTTTCAGTTGCCGGACCCTGGTGAAAACCATCAATCAGACACTCTGAGAAGTGTCCAATTGATGGTTTTCTTGTTGTCCATTGGACACTCCCAATCAAGTGTCCAATGGACACCGGGCTGTACACCATCCTCTGGATGTTTTCCACTGCCGAGCATCACTTGGACGCTTTCGAATTTAACGCAAGTCCCAATTCCCTGCTGTGGGCAGTGTGAGAACTCCTTTGGGAATGGTGGGAATGGTGGAAGTCCTGTGAGGGGGAAATATCAGATGAGATATATCACGTATGTCAAAATCTACTAAAAACTGTTACAGCTGATTTGAAAGACCTACCCCTCTATTGTACTACACAAGAGTTAACACAACAATTTATTTATTGTTGTGGCAAAACTGATGATAGAGAACACTATGTGTAGCAGTCTCTTATCAAACCTAGATGAACGTGAGTTCAGCAGACTATTGGAGTAGAATTGTTGAGTAAGATGTGTTTTTTCTTCTTTTTATATGTTTTATGTATTTTTGAAAAATGATTGGTGTATTTACTGATAATGAATGCAAATTTATGAGATACTACTGAGAAAAAAATGTGCCTATTCAGGTGTCTTTTCCTTCTTCCCTAACCTTGGTTGGGAGCACAATGGTTTAAGATAACTGTCTCTTGTTTAAGATCACAAGTTGTATTGGTTGTTACTTTCCTTTTCCTATGCTTCTCAACATCTGAATGATCTCAATGGGGCACGTGATTAAGATCACAATGGTTAATGTATGGATTGATTGCTCCATTCTGTCTGGTTGCTGATCAGATGAGATGACATGAGATGATAAAAAATTGGAATGAGGGGGGAAAGCCCCTCCTTAAATAGTCTATTTTACAACCCGGCTGACTTGTGGTTCTACCCCTAACCAATAATCTATAAATGGCCAACTTGTGGTTCTAGCCCTAACCTATAATCTATAAATGGCCAACTTGTGGTTCTAGCCCTATACAAGATTCTCAGTATACCTACAAACAATGTGGCTAACTTGTGGTGACCCTATGCAATTAATATTGATCAAATATACAAACAAACTAAGGCCAACTTGTGGTTTACATTATGCAAAAAGCATTTTGTATGCAAATAAAATTTAAATCCCAAATAACTTTTGACTGAGGGGAGCTAGCCTAGTGGTTCCAGTGAGTGACTATGGGTTAAATGACCCGTAGAATGTAATTATGCCATAATAATACTAAGAATATATGCCCCTCTACATATTGGACTGTGAATTTATGCAATTTGATACTTGAAACACAATTTGCATACTACAGCAGCATTGGCATGCAAGTGGTCTTGCTACTATCGCATTGCGCCGACGTCAGGGAGGGACTTTTGCCTCAAGTCCCCCTCCTCGTGTGGATCCTGAGAGGTGCTTCTGCGCTTTTTTGGGGTGACAAACTTTGCACCCATGCCAAATGTTGACCCTTTGGGTCAATCAGTCCGCCAATGAGTCACCTGGAAGCTGCGCTTTTGCCCTCTCAGGCAATATGCTTTTCACTCTTACTGTGCCAAAATTAAAGGAAATATAAGCAATGCAAACTCTTGATTTTTTGAGAGATTGCCGGCAATACAGTTTGACATAAGAGCATACTTATCCATGATACACGTTTGAAAAAACATAATCCATAATAGGCCTCATGCTGTACTGTTATTATGCTCATTGCACTTGGCCATCACATCTCCTAACTTCTGAATACAGTGATACTATTCAGGAGGTTGGAGAAAATACCAGACCTTACAAGAGTATGCAACACATACTCTCACATACTCTTATCAACAATTTTCTCGTCTGTGGGGGGATTTTGATGATGGAGGGCTGCCAGAGTGCGCAAGATGCACACAATCACAGGCATCTGCCGGAAGGCCCCGCCCCCGGTCCTCTGATCAAATTTTGAGTTATTTCACTTCTAGTGAAAAACTGCTGTTTTAGCATCTCAGATTGGTCAGGACCCACGCCGGAAATTTGACTTGCGGTGCAAGCCTCTCTGTGAGACAGAGACCCTGCGGGGCTGCCCTCTGGGCCAGATTTGGGTGTGTATTTCCGCTTTCCCGCAAAATCCTGGTGGGTATTGGGGTATCTTCAGAGATACTCAGCCATATAGGCCCGCGGACGCGGCTGTGGGCTGCATTACGCACACCTGTGGCCCAACACTTGCTGGCATATCCCCTTGTTGGCGGCCAATACACCAAATTCACATCCAAACAAACGTACATGCCCGGAACAAACCAACCAGAGATGTGGAGGTAAGTCATTCTCCCCCCACCACCCTCTTTTTATTCCCTTCAACCAGTGCAAAAAAAAACTTACTTACCTGTCAATTGCTTGGCCAAAAGACACAAATTGTTCCACCCAATTGCTGGAAATTTGCTACAATCGGAACTGCTTGTTGTCACCCGCCGTCACACTTGTCCTGCCTCATTGTTCATTTGAGAGAAACCAAGACCAATCACAAGTTGCACACCCCCCCTCCCCCAATCCGTAGCTACAATAACACTTTCTCTTTAACCTCTCTAGGAGCTACACTAGATGATGAAGAACAGGGTAAAAAGGGAATATACCTTCAAGATCTCAGGTGCATTATTCCACTGAAATTCTTTTGTTAAAAGGTTTAAACAATACATCAAAGAATCCAAATACGTATAATCAGCCTTGAGTAGATGAGGTTGGAATTGTGCTAGACACACTGGATGAAGAAAAGATCAGCCCAAGAGACATTGTTTTGCACAAACTGAACGGCGGAATAAAGGGTTCACCACCCTCTTCCCTGGCTATTTAGGTCTCCAATTCCCAAATTTTTTTCCCTAGGGGTGGACAGGGCTGGATTCTGGAATATAAGTCTTTGTGGAAACCAGGTGAGAGATTTTTATCCTCTGCTCATTTCTGACTGCCCCCTGAATTGGTTTTGGGTAGGTCAACAATTAGGCCAGGATGAACTGTATGCCTCAATGTGCTTTGACAAAGTGAGTTACTTCTCAGTGATTCTTAACGGCAAGGTGTTGTTTCAAGAAATTCTCAACAATATTTATATCTGTGTAGAACGGTTGATGTTGTTAAATTTTAGACAGCTAAGAGCAGCATTATCATTAGATACTGATATGTAATGGACTATGTACACAATCAAAAAGTTGCTCTGATGAAAAGAAAATTAAAGCTATTTACCTAAGAGCAGAATGATCGGCTGCTGGTCTTGGATTATGATTTGCTGAAGCGAATCTGAAGTGATAGAGAATGAGAGAGGAATGAGAGTTGAGAGTGAGATGAAAGTGATTCTAGTGAGAAGATTTTTAGGGTCTTTTATGTCTGTGTTTTCGATAGAAAGAAACACCTGTGGTAGTCTTGTGTCTTTATTAATGATTGCATGAAGCATCTTATTTACTTTTTGTTGACAGTGGAGTAGCTGAATTATGCCTGGTGGTTTTGGATCGAAGCTGTTGGTTCCAAAGGTCTGTTTGAACAAGGGAACATTCTTTATCAGAACTTCGATCTCTGTCAACATCATAGCTGCAGAACTTACTCGTTAGTCTTGCGACTTAGTCTGGCAAGTAGTTTGGGCTGTGGGTTGGTGCTGATTCTGTGTATGATGGAGCTGGGAAAAGTGGGACAAATGGTGAGTTCGATGCCTAATTTTTTGCTGAGAGACAGCCTGGTTAAATACTCACGGGGAAGCTGAGCTTGTTCGCTGTGGCTTCGTCTCCATTGCTGGTGGGCAACTTGCGTGGGCTGCATTCCCATGGATCTTGACTGGAAGTTTCAACTCCTGCGTCTGAAGGAGAGAAGGCTGAAGTTAGTTTCATCCTTCTGACAGTCTGGGTTCTGGTTATGAAACTTACTTGGTTTCACTTTGGCTTCTGCAAGGTTCTTGCGACACTTGCTAGCTGACTCATCCCCGTGAGGGAGAATCTGACAGATGTTAGATTTTGTCAGGCATAATCAAAAACAACTGAAAGCCAACTTATTCAAGTCCTTAGAGGAGGCTATCTGTAACAAATCCAACCTAGAAGGGAGAAAGATTATATTTCCCTCAACATTTGCAGGATCTCCCAGGAATACAAATCAGTTATACCAAGATGCCATGACCTTGACCCAAGAATTTGGCCAACCAGCTTTGTTTGTAACTATGATGGCCAACCTGCGCCTTGAGTTCAGCACAACTTTCTCTAGATTTCAATATCTGGTAGTCAGCACATTTTGTTTGACAATAAACAAATGTCAAGGTCAATATTTAGATAAAGTGGCACTTTGTTTGCCACAGCCTGTTTTTGGAAACAGTCAGTTATATGTTGCATAGTCATGGGTCACTTCCTTTTATAGTCTGTGTATTGGTCTGTTGTCTGATACAGACTGCAAGCACTTCAAATGTTTTAAATAAAGCATTGTTGAAGTATCACACATAAAATGTTTGGATTAGGCATGAAGTGTTTATATTTGTAGAGATTGAGGTTATCTCTTTGACTAAACAAATTGGTAAACATGGCAGCAGCCACACTATTCCCCAGTAATGGTAGATTTGTCTATATTTGATACCCCCTATTTAACCCTTTTTGGGGCCTAATGATGCAAAATTTCAATTTTGAAAAAGCAACTGCTCTCTGATGATGGATGCCTTATATTTGATACCCCCTAATATGAGCTTGATGAGGTTAATGAATTGATGAGTCAAAGATTTTAAATAGATTTCTGTCTCACCAAATTTGCAATAGCCAATGGAAGAAGTCTAGAGAAAAAAATTGGAGAAATGAGAATATTATTTTTAGATGCTAGTTGAATTCCTTCTATTTCTCTCCACTCTGCTATCTTTTTTTTCTTTTTCCCATTCTCTCATTTTCAAACATAGTGGTAAAATGTTTTTGGGGACGGGGCAGGTGCCTTTAAATTTGCTTTTCATCTTCTCAAGTTTGATGGGCCTTCACGGGAGGGTTTATCAAGGAGGTTCAGTGTTACAAGTTCTTTGTTGATGTGATCACGAGGACACCTGGGTCCATGCCTATTTTTATATAAACCTGGATGGTTTGTGCAATGAAATCTGTGGCAAGTATTGCAATGGTAATACAACTTGTGACGTTCATTTTCACAGGGTTGATTCATGGTTCCTTGCTGAACAGGTTGGCCACACTGCTTTACTGAATGGAATCCATAGTCTGGATACTTGCTGAATGGGATCAAGGAACCAACCCCTGTACATTGTGGCCAATTACAGTCAGAATATTCATCAATAGAAACCACCAAAGCAGGAAGGATGAACAGAATTTTGATGCTGCAGAAATTGGTAGAGATCCACATTTTCATTGGGGACATGTGTTTCATTGGGACTTGAATCTTGGACCAGAAGAACTGAGCAGGTCTGCACAACAGATGTATGATCAGGACTTGGGTGAAGTTTGAACCAGAAACCTATTGAGAACAGGTGATTGGGTCTAAAGTGAAATGTGCTGCTATTCCACTGTGCTACTTGTGCAAGCACTTCTATTCACTCTCCCCATGGTGACCATAACCTGCTTCATGGAGCATATCTTGAAGTTTGAAGTCATGTTTGCATTGGATTTACATTGCAAAATTCATTCATAAAATTGTCTGTCATCACTCAATACAATTTGAAACAAAAATAAAATTCATGATTTTCATATTGGGGCTTGGAAAAACAACTCCTGTTTTTTTGCCAACAACTCCTAACAGCCATCAGCAGACATCTGTAGACTGTTGGGAGTTGTCTTCTAAATTGAGGGCGGATTCTGGGAGTTTTCTTTCCAATTTTGTTTTTTGGGACTCGGCTCCCTGGGCCCAACACATGCCTCATGCATGGGGGTGGTTTGGGAGTTTCTCCCACTTGACCGGAAGGAACCCCTTCTGATCAGTGAGGCAGCTAAACCTCATTGACCTGAAGGGATTCCTTCTGGTCAATGAGGAAGATTCACCTCATTGACTGGAAGGGATTCCTTCTGGTCAATGAGGAAGATTCACCTCATTGACTGGAAGGGATTCCTTCTGGTCAATGAGGAAGATTCACCTCATTGACTGGAAGGGATTCCTTCTGGTCAATGAGTAAGATTCACCTCATTGACTGGAAGGGATTCCTTCTGGTCAATGAGGATTATTGACTTCATCCATTGACCGGAGGAGAGTCCTAGTTGATGAGGAAGCTATACCTCATCAAAAGGAAGGGATTCCTTCCGGTCAACAAGGTTTAGCCAATGAGGTAAATCTTCCCTAACAACTGGAAGGAATCCCTTCCGGTCCATGATGTTTAGCTTCCTCACTGACCGGAAGGGGTTCCTTCTGGTAAAGTGGGAGCAACTCCTAAACCCCCTCATACGTCAGGGGTGGTTTGCAGGGGAGTCAAATCCCAAAAAAAAATAATAATAAAATAAAGAAAAAGAAAAAGAAAAAGAAAATGGGTAGACGGCACCCAGAATCCGCCCTCACTTGAGAAGACCACTCCCAACGGACGTCTGCTGACAGTCGTTGGGAGTTGGCAAAAAAACAAGAGTTGTTTTTCCAAGCTCCTTCATATTTTCCATATCTGATACCACCTATTCTAGGGGCCTTGAATTACCCCTTGATTATCACTGCCTGAACTAATTGCTTGGATCAACAGGCAAGGGCTTGGAAAAACAACTCCTAAATTTTAGGGGACAACTCCCATTTGTTGGTTGGCGCCGAGAGGACCGTCTGCGGACCACTCCTGGACCAACTCTGGACCCAGGGATTGGTCCAGGGAGTTGTTGGACCAATTTCAATTTTTTTATGGGAGTCGTCCACCCATTTTGATTTTTTTTTTTTTTGTATTTTGGGGGGGGGGGAGTTGTCCGCCTAATATTTGGGAGTCGTCAGTCCCAATTCTCATATTTTTTTCAGGGTTTTCTGTTTTCTTTTTTTTTTTGACTGAACGTCATCAGGCTAAAGTCACCTGACAAAAAGGGAGTCAACAGCCCAATTGTCACAACCTTGTTCTTGGCTTTTTTTGTCTTGCGGGAGTTGTCAACCTTGCTTTTTTTCTGTCACATTTTTCCAGACCTTTCTTCCTTCTTTCTGCCCCCCCCCAATGACAAAACTCTGATTTTTATTGCTTTTCTATCTGATTTTTCTCATTTTGTCCCCTTGCAGTTACATAAACCAAGACTCTTTCCTGCCCCTCAGCTCTTGAAGGATTGGAAACAAAAGGCTTCAGAAGAGTCTTGCATATGGGAAGACCAGTTTTCTGAATGTTTCCAATTGACTGTAGAGAAGAAGATTGCAACTCTGATGACCCACTACTAGGGGTTTCTTACTGTGTCTTTTTTAATTCTTGATTTTTTCCCTCTATGTCCTTTTTTACCCAGTTTTTTTACATTTCTGATCAATTTTGAATGTTTTTTCATTTTTATCATTTCTTTTATCTTTATGTTTGTCTCCATATTGTTTTTCTCAACAAATATAATTTTTTCTCAGTGATAAGGTGCCTTTGGGGTAGGGTCTCAGTGGCTCATTTTTTTTATGTCTCTGGGGTCACTAGGGTCTCAGTGGCTCAATTTTTTTATGTCTCTAGGGTCACTATATGGTGACAACTCCCATAATAAAAAATGTAGGGGGCTTTTTAGTCAGATAACTCCCATTGTTTTTAATAACAAAAAAATAAACATTTTGGCCTGAATTAGGGTGACAACTTGTCAGCTATGTGTATGAAACTTTGGCTTAATAATATAAAAGCCAAGTACTATCACTGTGCTGGAGGACTCAGGTTAAAGACCAAGATTACTCCTAGTCACCCTCAAAGTATTAAGTGGTCCAAACTTCCCACTTAAGAGGTTAAAAAGTCCACACTCCTCAGTTAAAGACACTTGAATAATCAAGAGAGCACTGTAGGAGACAATAACAGAATAAGTTATTGTAGAGTGTTTGGAAGCAATAATTAATATTGAGTAGCTGGCAAGCACCTGAGCTGAAAGGCTACAGTCAGAGGTGGTGGTCTTGCAGCAACTACTTTTTAAGGAATTAGTTAAGTTTTTGAGTCTGGGATAACTCTCAGCTTAAGAATAATTCCAGTAAGAAGGTAGGGTTGGATTGGATAAAAAAGACTACTCTAAAAGTAGGTGGAGAATATTTACTGTACTCACTTAGTTTGTTGGGGGTGAATATGCTGAGGAATCCATCCTAGGCAGGAGAAAGGCCTCCTTAAATATTCTAGAGATCCCTTGGGGGGCATTTCTTAGAATATTCTAGAATCTCCTTTTTAATGTACAACAGTAAAAATAATCCCACGATGTAATGGGAATGTTGTAATATTTCTCATAAAATTATATTCTATGTCCCATGACATCATGATGCATATTTAAAGCCAATTACATCATGTTTCAACTAAAGTAGAATAATACTGATTAAAGTAGAATAATACTAATAGAAATTGTCACACACTACACTAGTGTTGTAATTCCTATTCTACATATTTATTTCTTGTATAATACAGTCTTAAATGTATATTTAACCCTAATTTAATATACATTAGGTTCACTTTATTATTTTAGTTAATTTAAAGTATTTTGTTCCTACTTGACTTCATGGTCTTTGAGTATTAACAAAGTCCTAGAAGGAGTAGGATTTTAGGGGTAGCTCCAGTGAGTCCAGTGAGAGACCCCACCTAAAATTATATGAAAATAAAGATTATTCAATAATCTTCAGTGTTTATTTTATTGTTTAGTGAGTAATATTAGATATATTTATTATTAGCAGACTTTGGAATACTCTGGAGTATCTCTAAGGCTGACACAGCTCCTGTTTTTTAGTCAGACAACTCCCGTATTTTTTAATACAAAAAATTCAAGATCTTTGGTGAAATTAGGGTGATGAATCCCTTTTTTTTTCTTGGAAATTAGACAAACAACTCCTGCCGACGACCCCTGGACCAAAACGGGAGTAGTTGACTAAAATTTAGGAGTCATTTTTCCAAGCCCCAACAGGTATGACAGGTCATCAGAGCAGCCTGTTGAAGCATTTTTCAGACATGGCCATCCACAAAGAGGTTGGACTTGCCTGGCCAAGCAAATGGGCCCGCCTGGTGACTGCTTGGGCAAGCCCATTTGACATCTTGTTGGACTACCATGTCCAAGGACTTCTCAGACAGGCAAGCCCAAGTAATTGCCAGACCTGCACTTCTCAGACAGGCCAGCCCAAGTACTTGCCAGACCTGCTGGTCCAAGCAGATAATTCAGGTGGTGTATACCACCGGTCAGGCCAGACAACTTTTGGTTGGTGCGCAGGATGGTTGTCCGGCCAGTTTTCTGTGGCTCTGAAAGGACCATCCAATGGATGGTACTCTGAAAACCTTGAATCAAATGTTTTGGAATAATCCATCCATTGGGTGGTTTTCTGGCAGGGAAAACCTCAAAAAATCACATCCACAATATTGGGCTTGAACCCACAGCCTGCCTGCATCAGTACAATGCATTACCAAGTCGACCATATCAGATTTGACATTTTACCACCTAAATGGTTGATAACCACAAATTTTTATGCAAAGCTAATTTTCTGGCTTAATTTAGACTTTTGACCCCCCCCCCAAGTCATGTGCGTTTGGGAAGGAATTTTTGACAATCAACTGCATTTTAGCCTGTTTTTTCAACCATCAACCACCCCACCTGTAAAGCAAAAATTGGGTGGTTTCAAAAGTGTCGATTGGACACTCTTGATTGAGAGTGTCCAATGGATGGTTATTTCTACCATCCAGAGGATGGTCTTGACCACCAGGCATCACTTGGATGGTTTCAGAAGCATCCAAGTGATGCTTGGGGCACCGAAGCATCCCTTGGATGCTTTCATAGTGTCCAAGGGACGCTCTTGCTCAGAAAATGACCATTGGATGTACAGTTTTTCTAAAAACCCGCCCCGTGGTGTATATGCCAAGTTGCCGCGCAATACCCCAGCCTATCACCTTGTCACCTGAAATCAAGGGAGTTGATATGATGTTTACTTTAGAATCAGAAGTCCCTGGTGAGAAGCTCCCATCAATAGAAAGATCACTTGATGATCAAACCAAACTACCATTGTGCATCAGGAAGCAAGCCTAATGTGCATTGATTTAGGATGCAACACAATCTACTTGAGATATTCAACAGTCGTTCCTGGAAACAATAGGCAATTCACTGCAAGAAAATTTCAGGCAACCGTGTGCAGTTGACATGTGATTTCACAAAGGTCTCTTTTTAATATCTCATCTCAACTGTACACAGTTGCACACCTTTTTCTTGCACATGCAACAGTCTCAAAACCCACATGGAAGTGAATGTTTCCATTGGAGAAAAAAGTGTGGACAAAATGAGTCCATTATTTGTGGAGTTCTATTTGCAATGTATGCAGCCTTACATTTTGTTGTCAATATCATTATTGTTGCACTTTGCAACCATTCATGAGCTTCTTATAATTTCTTCCTAGTCTGTTGTATCTTCAAAACTCTCCAAATGCACTTTCTGCCAGTTATGTTAAGGATGTAAATAGGGTGGATTGTGCCCCAGCTTGGCAATGCAAGGTGTTTGGAATTGACCCCCATTTCATCCTCATACATATAGCACTTATTCATGTTACAAAACAGATGAGTGAACCTATATTTCTATGCACTGCATATTTCCAGCAGATGTAAGCACCCTGTATTTCCAATGTGTCAGCACAGGAAGGTGCACTGTAACTCAAATAACGATGATGGTTGAGATGAAATCATTCAATTGCAGTTCTTATGATTCAATTCAAAGAGGACAAAATCACATCCAAGTTATGTCTATCATGTAAGTATAAGTGAGGAAACCCAAATCAAGCCCAGAAAAGGATGATCATTGGCATAAAATTACAAGCAACCAATTACAAAAACCTAAACAAAAAAAAGCGAACCAAAAAAAAAAAAAAGTGGAAAGGAAGAGAAGAGAGGAACTTATTGGATTGAATTGGAGTCAAAGCTTTTGATGATCAATCCTTCTTGCTCATGTTGTTGAAAGGAGTATCCATTAGTCCTGAATAGCTGAGATTTCAAGAACGGTCTGACGTCGTAAATTTCGACTTCTTTAGCCTACATCAACATCCAAACAAAAGTAAAAAAGGAAAAGTTATATCACCATCAGCATTCTTGTTATATTTTTGAAGCAAGTAGAGGTAACAGAGGAAGGGGAGAGGGCAGGGGACTGAACTCGTTCCTCTAATTCAGAGAGCTTGATAGTGACCGATTCAGGCCGTTGATCAGAAAGCTCAGATGAGCCACGTTGCAAGCCCTTAAGTTTACCGATATGGAACCGAATTTTCTCTTTAACGATCTGACCGAGGAGGAAGCCGAGGAGTTCCTGATGATCGTCGGCGACTCTGAGATACTTCCTAAAGCCGCGTTCGAGCTGTTTCTTGATGCTGATCTTCTGACATTGGATGAAGCTATTGATGGCCACTTGGATCGCCAGATCGATGTCGTCCGACCGCACATACTCCCGCAGATGCAGCTTCGCACTCGCCTCCGACATCCGGATCATCGACTCTAAATGGCGCACCGTGATCGGAATCGATCCTGTCGATAACGACTCCCGTCTCAGCTCCGAAAATAACTTCGACATCTTGTCTTGGTCCATCTGATGCAGCTTTGGTCGGATCTTCTCTCGCGCATATTGTATATACTTCCTGAGCATATCTTGAGGAATAATCTAGTTGAAACAAAACCGTCATTCTCAGCTTCTCTAACTCCTCCATCTCCAACCTTATTCATAGCTTACGTCTTGATCAAGCGAAGTCTGGACATTGACTTCATCGACTTCGGGGTTAAAGTTCGGATGACTTCTGAGATGACTACCGACGACGAACTTAGCCAAGAGTTCGTCGACGATGGGGTCGCTATTATCTTTGACGACGCACAAGACGTCGAACCGAGACAAGATGGGTTCGGTCAACTCGACGTTTTGCGAGAAGGCTGTAGACGTGAAGTATAGATCCGTTCGTCTCAGCTAGTGCGTTCTCTTTTCTGGGAGAGTGAGTGGTTTTTTATTATGTGCTCATCATCACTCACGGATTTGGGAGTTGTATCGGCCGCGAATCGGGTTGGCCGCTGCAATGATCGCGCATCTGGCTTGGAGACTTGTCACGATTCCTGCCTTTGATATCGAGATCGTTTGTTGTTCCATAGCTTCGTGGATCGATGTTCTTGATGTACAACAAAGTCAGTCAACCCATCAATCCAAGATTTTTATTATGTAACTTCAAGTTGTGTGGATATCAAAGAAGGTAAAATGGACTAACCTGTCTTGGTCATTCATCTTATCGAACTCATCAATCAAGCAAGTCCCTTTATCAGCAAGTACCAAAGCTCCGCCCTCGAGAGTCCATTCTCTAGTCACTGGGTCCTTCCTGACACTAGCGGTGAGACCGACGGCGCTGGCGCCTTGGCCGGTAGCGAAGACGGCACGATGGGCGGTCTTTTCGACGTACTTCAAGAACTGGGACTTGGCTGTCCCCGGATCTCCGAGCATCAAGACATTGATATCCCCTCGGATCCGATGTTTATTGTTGATGTTCTTCGAGACGCCGCCGAAGAGACTCAGAGCTAAGGCAGTCTTGATATCCTCGTGTCCATAGATCGAGGGCGCGATCGACTTGATGATCCGCTTCCCGATCCGGTCGTCCCTACTCAACGCTCGGATCGCCTTCTCATCCTCCTCGGTCAGCCGACCAGACGCAAATTGGTCTTCCTTCCTGCTGATATGGTTAGCCTCTAAGATCGTGGCAAAGACCGGGAATCCGTTCTTGATGTTCAACGAGACATCAAAGTTGTTCTTGTACACTCCGATCACATCAACCTCTTCTCCCGGCTTGACTCGGTCGATCAGATCCCAGAGCAAGATCACCTCTCGATGACGAGGTAATCGACCGGCGGGCACCGATCCAGGCGATTCTTGGAGGGTCATCTTTTGGTAATTCCGATAAACAGTCTGTTCAGAATTGACGGTGAACGGGCCCTTGCCCGCGCAGTTCGAGCAGAAACTGATCCGGACCTCTTGGTTTGAATCCTGGAAGAACGGGCCCAAGGTCTCCCCGCATTTCCCACAGTCGAATTTGACATACTTCAACTGGGGGAAAACGCCTGTACGACGGGTGACGACTCCCGTGACCCGGACGAGTCGATCAAGATGTTCTTGTCGTAACTCTCGCAGCGTGTATGAGGTCGGTAACTCGGTGATTCGCACATGCACTTCCGTATGGATCCGGTCGTATTCTGGGTAGTATAATAAAATCGCATCCAATGCTACCGTATCAAAATGCGCAAGCATTGGGGTTGGACAATTTGCTAAAAAGTATGCTAAGATCGCCTTGGAGTCTGACAGGTGCAAGAAAGACACCTCCAGAGATTCAGAGTTGACTGTAAGACAAAATGCAAAAAACACAAGATTAATATTTATATTTAATGACCCGCGGGTTTCCCAGTGTGATTGTCGTTTGTTGTTGGAAAAAAAGATCAAAAGTGTACCTTCTCCTAAAGTTTTAATTCGTTGGCCATAAACACTCGTGCCATTATCATCGACATAAGTCATCAAAAAGTCTTTAAAGGCTCTCATGATAGTCCGACTAACGGCGGGGACGTCGATCCATTCCTTGAGTGAGTTAGACTTGATATCGCTCAACTGTTCCAATGGGAGTTCGTCCTCCTCTTCGCCTTCCCCGCCTTCGACCACTTCTGGGATCTCATCGTACTGTCTTCGTCGACGTCTTCGAGTCAGAAAGTCGTCCGGGTCTTCTCCCATATCACTGTCCGATTGCAGAAATGCTGGTACTCGCGATCTGCCCTGTCGGCCTGAGTAAGAGAAAAAAAAAAACATTTGACCAGATAAGTTAGATCATATTTGGGGTGGTGGGAGTATGATCAAGCCTGACCTCCGCTTCCATCCCCTCGAGCATCCCGGCGGTCTCGGCGGGCCATCCTGGCTTCAGCAAGCGCCCGTGTTTCGGGGTCCATGGCTTCAATATCAGGATCGTCGTTGATATCGGCAACATCGTACTGATCCAAACGAGCGTTTCCAACATAGTCCCTGATTCACAGCAAGAAGATCGGAATAAGTGCGTGCGATATTTTTCCTTCCCCTAGTCGAAGAATGATGTAAAGAAGGAAGAGGCGGGAGTGGGAACTGACTCCATCATGTCATCGCCAAACAAGTCTTCCCCGTCCTCAGGTTCATCGGTACTCTCGCCGATATCGATGTCCTGGATCTGGTCCAATTCATCCACCACCCCGTTGTCGCTCTCGTCATCACTAGTGAACGGTGGCGGAGGAGAAGAAGGAGGCAAGGATGAGGGCTGTGGAGTGGGCGTGTCCACCGGCGGTTGGGGTGAAGAGTTCCTCCTTCGCTTGGATGTTGAGGGTTGGACCTGGTAAATGGATCCATAGACTCAGTTCTAGTTATACTGGGTTCAATATAGCAAGACACTACTTACCATTTTTTCCGTCTTTTGCTTCAGTCTTGGCTGTTCTGCTGCTTCTGTTGATATCCTTGATGGAGAGACGCGTCGGGGTACAACCACTTTATTGGCTGATCCGATGATGACCAGGGTCGTGTCTGACATGTCCAGCAACTGTCACGCCTCCCTGATCGAGAAACGCATGTGACACCTCAGCAACATCTGTCCAGTTTATACCCATCAAACAGGTGTGTGCTGGTTCTTCTCCAAAGACTCTCAACCAAACTGGATACATAATAGGATTTGCTCAAGCCTTTGAAAGCCATCTCATAAAATAATCTCCAAGCTCACAAAAACAGAAAAGAGAAGTTCACAGCCGCTGGGTATCAATTAATTCAAAAACTCATCTTACTTTATTATCTGAACCATGTCAATATTTTGAGGATCAATAGGCTCTTCACATGCCTTTGCTTCAGTGATAATAGGAAGTACACTTGTGATGGGACAGAAAGCAAAATTGGTTGACACCGTTTCACCATACATATCACTCATTCAACAGCATCAAGTAAAAAGTTATAAAGATGATGGAGGTGTGCGCAAGGGAAAAGTTCCAGAGATGTTTTGTAAGATTTATCATTAGATAGGAAGAGCAAAAAAACGAAGCACAACAAAACAAATAATGAGCTTCAGGAAGTTGCAGGAGTTTGATTTGAATCAGCAGCATCAGCCATGGCTTGGCCGACTTCTTTCATCGAAATCTCCTTATTTTGGCGTTCTTTCTCAAGCACCCAATCAGGTTTAGGAGTGTATTTCTTCTCCTTTTTCTTTTTCCCATCAGCGGAAGAATTTTGGAAGTCATCAGGATAAGCCAATCGATTAGCCTCTTGGAATTCAGGGTCTTTCTCGTAAGTTTCCCGGATAGGCGTTAAGAGTAAGATGATAGCATTGGCGACTGAGAGCTTTAAATCCGACGGGAATAGTTTGAAGCTTCCGGATCCCGCAGGTTCTTCGGTTTGGTAATCTTGAAGGATTTCTGAGTACGTCGTATAATGTAATTCATCTTTCTCTCGTTTTCGTACCACCGAGAATAACGTTCCTTCAGGTGCTTCAGGTGTGGCAAATGGACTTTTATGATCTTGATTCATATCTCGTTTCAAGTCGGCAATTGGAAGTAGAACAGATTCTAAGAAAGCTAGGATTCCATTCCCGTTGACTTCACCGGGTACGCAAACCGCATCCTTGATTTTCTTCTTAACTTCTTCGGGCGAATCGAGGAAGTCGATCTTGGATTTGGCGTCGGAGGACGACATCTTGGTGCCAGTCAAACCAGGGACCATAGTATTCATGAGATGGATCCGCTTGGCATAGCCTAACCTGGGAAGGTAAAGCTCAGCGAAGGTGAAGATTTTGCGTTGATCGATCCCACCGAATTGGAAATCGACCTTGAGATATTCTTCATCTAGGGCCTGAAGGAGTGGGTAAAGGAGGCCCGAGAGCGGCGGTGCGTCGGATTCTTTGACTACTTCGCTTCCCGCTTTCCGTGCATCCCGTTCAGAGACCAGAGAGGCTAGTTTCAGACAATCTTTGTTGTATGGGGTCGAGTATTGGTAAGAGGAGCCAGTGATAAACTCTAGTCGGTCGATCGGGACCCCGATCGATGTGAAGACTGCCCGCAGGATGTGAGAGTAGTACGAAACTCGTTGGTTGATCAGCTCTAAGGGCGCCTTGAGGTTATCCAAAAACGCATGAACGTCTATTATTATGAATTTTTGAAACCATCAGCATCATGATTTCTATCAATATTAATAAAATATTCGAACGTCTGCTAGTCACTTCAAATCCAATGATAAAAACTGACCGGCTAGTAAAACTTTGACCCGAACGCCGGCTCGAAGAAAGTCTGCGATCTTGGTCAAGGGGACGAAGTAACCGATATGTGCTAATTGATTGAGTCGCCTTGTAATGGCGATGCAAGGGACGTCAACAAATTTCTCCTATAAAGTTTCTCCAAGAGTTCTTGAATATCAAGTAACCAAAAGGATGATAGAAGGAATCGATGAAAACAATCGTCACACACGTCTCCCCGTAGTTGCAGTACCTGATGATGATAATAATAATAGAGGATAGATCATTTCAGATGAGGATACTCTATTTTCAAAACGTTTACTGATATATCCAACAAGGAGCAAGATTCTTACCCCAATAACAAGTAATGACCCGCCCTTCCTCCTGGCACAACTTGAGCAACTCTTGAGACCCCAAGACTTCGCCCAAGTTTCGGGTGATCAACTCGTATCGTTCGGTGGCACTCAGCGTTTCAGAGGTTGTCGTCGACATGATGGATCGATTCCCTTGGGATGAAAACGATAAGGGTGAGAAGATGTTGTGCAAGTATCCGTTGGGCTTGGCAAAAGTCCGTCAACCGGTATGTCAGTCGGGGGTTTGCGTAGTGCGCAGCTACATGACCAAACTCCAGTTCACGGAAGAAGTCCGGGGAGCCCCGACCCAATTGCTCCCAGGAAGCATTGGTTCATGCTCAAGATCATACCAATGCGCGGTGAGCATGCCGAATAAACAGAAAGAAATCCACATCCTCAAAATATCTATCACGCCTTTTATTTTCCAATCTCTAAGTTTTCTTTCCTTGTTATCGCTAGTTTTTGGCCTGTTTTTCTGAAAAAAAAAATCCTCAGTTTATCCCATCCTGTCCCTGATGCTGACCACTCTTTCAGTTTATCTTACAACCGGCATCATCATCTGCGTGCATGACTCTTTCGACCGTTTCATAAGGTTCATATATATCTTGACCTTCTAACCTTCAGCAGTTGCGACTCGCAATTTTTTTTCGCCCTCGGGGGAATGTCACAAGTTACTGGATAAATTTTGTATCATGCTTAGTGCATTGGCCTCCTTTTTCAAGACTGAATGTTACTCAATCTAATTAGTCTTGTTTTCGGAGATATGAGAACCATTTATTTACAAATTTAAACTGCTCATGATTTTGAAGAAGTGGAATATGCTACTCTAAGCCTTACTTCAATTACTAAGATCTGTCTCTGATACAATCGCTGGCAACAACGTCGCAAATCATGTTTCCTTGCTAGAAAGAAGTAGAAGGGAAAATTCAGACGCAAGTTCGAAGGGTAAATAAAGAGGCCTTTCACTTCGAACGTTTTTGGAAAGAGATGAAATTACTGACCTCGTCCGGCCAAACATAGGGGGTGCAGCAAACCTTGAACCCTCCCAATTGCCCTGGAACCAATGGGTCACATGCTCCTTTTTTGTTTGGTTTACGCACTTTTTGGGATCAAGTAGCCAGAAAAATAAGCCGAGCGCGAATAATGTTTTTCTGAAAACGAATAAATCAAACTTACGTTTGCATGAAGCCTTGAATATGTCACCATCGGAACGCGTAGAGCAGAATGTCTGCGAATTCTGTCCCGAACACGTGGCGGATACTTCGATTGGTCCGAGAGCGCTTGCGAGAAAAGCGAGAACAATTGATTTCATGAAGAGATGCATCGTTGTAAAATTGTCTTCCTCACTTTATATGTCACGGTAATTCGGTTGTTAAAAAACTTGAAAAAGAAAAAAGCTAGAGACTGAGTTATGGTGAACTTAGGAATTACTATTTTGCCCGGACTAGATAGATACAACTATGAGTTTACACAATTATAATGCGAGGAGAGTTTGGTGGGGTTTGAGATGAGTAGATTGAGTGGAAGATGTGAGCGTTGGGTATGGGATGTCTTCCCGGAGAAGAGATTGCCGGTTTATATGATCTGTATGTGATGCCTGCACTAGGGAGAGGCCTGGCCAAAGGAGGCGGTAGCATTAGACCCTGCCGACACAATGAAACATAAGTTCCTTGGTCTGGCCGACGGGAACAGGAGACTTGAGTAGGGTTGACGGCGCCAAGGCCAAGTGCGCGCCTGAGGCGCCGCGCCCCGGGTGCGCGCACCCGGCGCCCCCAAAATCTTGAAAATTGGGGTGGGCGCGCACCTTCCTAACCCTAATTTTTACAGGGAGCCTGGGAGGATCTCATGGGAAGGTTCATGAGAGTTGGCCTCTGTACATGGTATGAGAGGCTGTCAGGCGGTCTCCTGACAGCCTAGGGAAGAAAAATGTCGATTAGACTTGGTGGCTTTTGCACTGCCAGTCTGCCAGACTTACATAGAAGTCAGAGATTGCTTTGTTTTTGGACCAAATTTCCACCAAGTCCTACATTACTTGCATTATGCCACCAATCAGAACTGACCAGACCAAGACAACAAGCAAAGTGTATAACCTACTGCAAACAAGTCTTCAACCACGGAAAACCTCACCTCCTCTTCTCACATATCAAAGCCTCGTGTGCAGTTATTTCTCCAGAAAAAATATCTGCTTACCTTTGTGATGCTGTAGCGCAGGCGGAGACAAAATCTCATTGCCATCTGATAATGGTTGTGATGATGGTCAAATCATCTCAGTTTCAATTCCCTCAAACCAAAAATCAAATCCATCAGTTGATCAGTTTTTTTGTCCGGTGTTGAATGAAAAGACTCAGCACCAAAATTGGTTTTAAATTCAAAAATAACAAAAAATTAATTGGCGCCTGGCGCCCCATGGCGCCCCCAGCCAAAGGCGCCAGCTTGAGGCCACTGGCAAGGCGCCCCTGGGCGCGCACTTTTTCAAACATGGCGCCGTCAACCCTAGACTTGAGGCCCTGTCACTCCAAAGAGGTCTTTGTTGAGTTCGGAAAACACAACGATACAGGATCTTATTGGCCTGGGCAGCGTGGATCAGAAAGCAATAGCTTTAAGCCCAGCACCTCTGGGAAGTTTTCTTTCTCCGCGAATTGCTTGCAGTAGCTTTCGGGAGAGGCTTCTTCGAGAATGCCTTGTTGATTGGTTGATGCCAGTTGCCGGGCAGGTTCGTCCTCACCTTGATTTTGAAAATATCTTAATCAACATTTGGCACTAAAAAGTCACAGCTTGGTACCCAACAACTGGTGACCCAAGCAAGCAGTGCAGTCTGCGTGGGGGCTTATTAAACCTTTATGAGTTCACATTTAACAAGAGATGATTATATCAAGCTTATCCGTTTTCGGTGGTTCGTTGATTATCGTCATCAACCATGGCTTATTCCGAGACAAAGGGGAACCACTAGAAATATCCATATCCAACCAGAAAGTATTTATGTGTATACCTGCAAGTTGCCGTCTCTATGCCTGCGCCAGATGGCCGTCTTATGTTATTTTCATCTCGAGGTCTTTACTTCTTTACATCTTTCTTGCACTTGTCAGCTCTTCCTTTTAGTTTTTTTCCCTAGGACTTTGACCTGAAAAAGTTCGACACCTGAATTTGTACCATTATGGTATGCAAAAGTTGCCAGAGTTTGCATTTGGAAATTTAGAATTCTTTCGTTTGCTTTAGGGATGAAGAATGTAGCCACATCCTTCCAGAAAAAACACCGCATTATGCATAGGCATAACTTCACCCAATCACATGATAATGTTGAAACAGAAAAAAAAGTTCAAAATGTAAACAGAAATCTGTGATTTCTGCTCCAGAATCTGCAGCCACACAGAAAAACTTTCCAACTGGATTTGAGGGGCTTGCTCATATCAAATATATGTCCCTGACCCCGGGTAGGGCTGGGCTTGAGGTTTTCTGAAATGTGCTCACTCGACTCCAATTCCCCTCGCATCAGCTCCATCCGGCCTATCACGATTCTCCTTGACGAGGGCAACCCAGTCGAGCAAGCTAGCAGGTAGGCTGCTTCAAGATGGTGCTAGAGCCGTGAACAGATGGCGATCTTGGGGAAGGTGGGAGGTGTGATGCGATAGAGAATTTGTCCCGCAGGCACTGTTGATGATATTGATATCGAGAGGAAGAACAAGAGTTTCCTCGAGTAAGCGCGCGCCGGGTTCTCCCTCCAAACAGCCGGAAGCCGAGTCTTCCAGGCCACTAATACTGGAGCGTCGAATATATCCACCGTCCCCTTGGGTATCGGCTTCGCAGGCACAGTTGACTGCTTAGTTTGAAGGACCTTTATAGGATCCGGGCTGCCGACCTCCTCCTCCTGATATTCCGTGTAGACTATCCTCTGCGTCGGGCGCCTACTCCTTCGGGCTCCATCCTATCCCCTCGGCAACCGCCTGCTCGCTCTCGTCCTAGTTTTCCTTCAAAAAATTATTTAGTATCTTGGATTCTTGAAGGATTGCGAGCCGTATGTGGATGCTGGTCTGTGCAGTCGCGAATTTGTGCCCCAAGTTCCCAACAAGCGACGCGCCGAATCGCCGATAATCGCTCCCCGCGCTTCCCCGCGCCCGGCGGTTTTCGCTCACAGATCATTCGGGAGGCTCCTGATCCCGGATCGATCGAGTGATCCGTCGGATCAAGCCGGAATGACCGGGGTTCGTGGCTCGAGGACCTGTGGAGAGGCTTGAAACTGCTACTATGTATATCCGATCAGCCTTCAATTTCGCATCCAACATTCCCCATAGAGTCATTTGAACGCTTTACCAGCTGGGCTTCCATACCTCTTGGAGACCCTTGGACTGGATCATAAAGTTGGTGAATATCCAAACAAATCGCTGGCTGCCGCTTCAAAGGCGAATGTCGGTAGCAGCCTGAGCTTAATCTTTCATCCATGTGTCAATGTATGGAAACGGTTTCTTGCCTACGGTCGGAAAAACACACAAGCTATAGACTGAATGCAGTGTGATTTCCAACAACTCAAGAAGTAGCCATTCACATTATGCAACAGAGGACGGATAAGCTCGGTGAAGAGCAAATCATATGATTATATCATGGAGGGCGGTCAAGCAGGATACAATTGCTGAACCATCCACAAGTCTGTCAGCCTAAACGGGCGCTGCTCACTTAAGAAAGTTGAGATGTTCTCAGAGACAGAATTATTATCGATGAAAGAAAAGAATAAATTTCAAGGAGCATATTGAGCATATAAGGGTACAACATTTTTGGGCATGGGACACAGACATCTGGTAGAGAAAAGAAAGAATAAAATCGTTGATCGATCTGTGGAAGCTCTTGATCAATTCTCTTTCCTGAAGTTATGTCTAGATGGAAGGTAGCGAGTACAAAAAACTTACTAAAATTCAATTACTTCTTTGCATTCTGAGCCCAAATAGGCTGAGGCGCCTGCTGTTGGCGTAAGGCTGGGTTCGTCTACTTCGCCTGGCTTGCTGTGCTTGTGCGGCTTGCCTGGGTTGAGCCTGAGGAGGTCGTGGCATTCGGCGCGGGGTGTGCCGACGTGCCCTCCTGGGCAATACCACTTGAGAAGCTGCAGTCGGCCTGGGAAGGGTACCTCGCTGTTGCGCAGGTACCATGTCGTCACGGCCGATGAGGGTGAAGACCCTAGGGTGGCGAATTCCTCCGGGGTGAGCAGTGGGACATGAAAACCACGAGGCCCTCAGGTCATGGAAGGTAGACATCTTCGCCTCGGGTTCTACAAAAAGGACCTTCTGTCCTTTTGGCCGGTGCTTGGCCCGAAGGGTCGCAACCGACTCCTCGGGGGAAGAAGTTGCTGCAGGGGTCTGGGCAGGAGCTGCTGGTGGGGTCTGAACAGGAGCTGCTTGTGAGGTCTGGGCAGGAGCTTCTTGTGAGGTCTGGGCAGGAGCTGCTTGCGGGGTCGGAGCAGTCGCATTCTGCACAAGAGGGGCATTCCATGCTTCGAGGGCAGAGAGTGCTGGTGGGTTGCGTGCAAGAGCTTCTTGGCGGGCGCGATGACGTTCTGAACGGGCGCGATGACGTTCTGAACGGCTGGGGCGTGCTGGTTCAGAAGTTTGCTGTTGTCGGGATTCAGATCTGCGGGCTCCCATGTGGATGTCGAACATCTCTATGATTATTCCGGATAAAATTCACCTGTTAGTATTAGGATCATATGCCAGTCAGAAAAGCTGAGTTGGACTTACCCATTATCTCTCGATGATTCATTGCTGCTGTTTCAGATGGTTAAATTCGCTATCTACTGCAGAAGTACAATGAGTCGGGGTGGAGAAAAGCAAGCAGGAATCAATGAGACTGGCTGCTGGGACTGGTGGTGGGGAGGAAAGAATCGATGTGAAGAAAACGTTTCGCTAGCTTACCTGTGAGGATTGGGATGTGAAGGGGGAGAAGAAAGGTTCTTGTGGGGGAGTGGAGAGGGAGTGGAGAGGGTGAAGAAGAGTGAGGTTGTCAAATGGCGAGGGAATTGGATGGCTTTATATATAGTCAACCTATGTGCTGAGCCCTCTGCGTCTCCCCCAGCAGCACTAGGCTCAGCACCAGATCACTGCCAAGGAGGGTTGAGGCTCAGCGGCCATCAGCAGTTGAGCTGTAGAATCGTAATCCTTTGTGTAGATTAGTGCAAATAGCAGCCGCTGAGCTGTGGACAAAGGCAATCCATAACAGTAGAACACAAACTGGACAAGGGCAATCAATTGAACTACAAAACAAACCAGACAAAGGTCATTGATACGAGCAATACACGACACCTCCTCAGTTGTTTTGCTGGTTTGCTGAACGTCTTGCATCCATGCAGGCTGTAATGCTCAACCAATGAGCACACAGTGCAATTGATTAGCTGAGGCCGAGGGTCTAGTAGCAACTCTTTAGGCTGCGCCATAATGTCATCGTTAGAAAACAAGATTTCGAAAATAGAATCCAACAGGCCCTCCCGATTATTGTTTCCACTGACATTTGCCTGGAAGTCATGTTGAAATTCCAAATGAATTGTAACAGAATAACCTGGAGAACGTGGTGGTCATGAAGAACCCGCTCGATGGGACCTAGGTATTGGCCTCAAAAATGTATAATCTATCCAATGATGCCAGCAATCACTCTTGCTCGCACAATTAGTTATTGTTTCATTTGCGCTTCCCAAGCTGAGCCATGGATAATGGCAATTGATAAGAGTAGAACATGAACTGGACAAGGGCAATCAATCAAACTACAAAACAAACTGAACAATGGCCATTTATAGGAGTACAAGACGACACGTCCCCAGCTGTTTTGTTATGTAGCAGGTTGAGCGCCTTGCATCCACGCGGGCAATACTAATGCTCAACTAATTAGCACACAATACAAACGACGAGCTGATGGTCCAGCAGAAACTCATCAGACTACGCTCCAATGACATCGTTAGAAAATCAAATTTGAGAATAGAATTCCACAGCCCAAGCCTATCCAGATTGCTGCTTCCACATACCTTGTTCCTTCAAGTTACATGGAAATTTTGAAACCGTTCATAACACAAGAAACTGCAGAATCTTGTGGATGTGGGGAAGCCACTCGATGAATCCTAAATTACTGAATGTTTATTGGTGACCCCGAATATTTTACTCTATCCAGTGAGACCAGCAATATCACTCAACTTGAAATCGGACCTTTTGCGCTTCTCAAGAACATACCACCAGCATTTCTGACATCTCGCTTATCCTGAAAGAATTCAACTTTATTTACAAGACTCTTGTGGTGACAATATTTGTGGATAATTGCAGTCTGCCTGCACTAACAGCAATCAAAAAAAAAAAAAAAAAACTAGGAGGGAGTAGAACTATTTAATTCAAGGGCAATGGGCCCAGTCATAAAACATGTTGAAGATTGGAATTTGGAAATTCATTGATTTCGTCAAGTAATATATTGGTGTGCAGATCATCAAATATGCTGGAGCTTTGGACTTTTTTCATTTATGACTAGTCTTTTTTCTTTGTGGCTAGGATGATGCAGGCACATTAATATGAGTTCTAGTGTATGATGCTTCCTCCAATCCGAATATTCTGACAGACTGTTCAGCTTGAATTGAAGAGATATCCCAAGTAGAATTTGTCAAAGTTGGATCAAGTTGATAGAAGGATCAATGGATCAATCAGCTCATCAGTTCGTTTTTTGGATTAGTGTTTCCAAAACATCATTGGGTCCAGCAAATTACTTTGATAAATTTTCGAATTTTTCATCTGAAGACTGATGCTGTCTGTGAGCTGCAATGAGTTGAAAAGATTCATCCTTTGATTGGACTTGATGGATCATTCCAAATCTCTCTATGAATCCAACCCTTCCAATAGATCCAGACAACTTGTTGCTTCCATGTATTAAACTGTTAGAACTCATGACTCCGACTTTTTTCATTCAGCAATCTCCGAAATTAATGGTCAAATATAGGATGCATGATGAATTGGCCAACTATTTACAAGACTGGATCAAGTCTGGCTCAATTGACCTTGTATTCTGAGTTACGTGAGATGATTGATCTCTAATTGTCCACTACATAATCATGGTTTTGAGGAAACGGAATATGCTGGATTAATGAGCCGTACGTCTTCCTGAGACATTCAAATTTCTATCTGAGGCAACCATCATAAACGACTTGGCAAATCACCTTGTGTTCCAGATGATCATTACAAAGAGAAATCAAGACAAGAGTCATCAGCTGGGTAGATAAACATCCCGCTCGAGACCAAAGATTTTAAATACAGAGATGAGACGGCTGACTTGATCAGGCCACACAAAGGGGTTACAGAAAACCTTCCTGGGTCCCAATAGCGGAGGACCCGCTGGGCCAGACTCACACAACCCTTCTTTATTTAAATGGAAGCGCTTTTTCCGAACAAGTATCATGTAGCCAGAAAAACTTGAGCCCATTTCGAAGTTGCTACAAGATATGAAGCGGTCTAACTTACGTTGACATGTCGCCTTTTTCATACGTCGCCATTTGAACGCCCAGCGCAGAAAGCATTCGCATGTATTTTCATGCACTTAATGGCGGATACTTGGGTAATCGGTCCGAGAGCGCTCGCGAGAAACGTGAGTACGACTGATTTTAAATGAGAAGGGGCATTGTCAAGTGTAATCGTGTTCCTTTAAATACGTGTTGCGGCAATCCGATTGTTGAAAGACTTGGACAGTGACTCGGAGTGATAAACAAAAAGCTGGGAACCAAGTTATTATTTATGAAATGGGGAGAATGTGGTGGGAAGTCCGATGCGTGCCCCCAGAAGACATTGCCGGTTTATACAATTTATGTTTGATGCCTGCACTAAGGGGTGGTATGTAGCATTAGATCCTGCTGCCACAATGATACTGGGGCTCTCCACTTGAGAGGACTGGCCGCTACCCTGCATTAAGGTAGCTCGCGCGGGTGCACAAAGATTATGGTTTAGACACCAGTTTTGGTGGTGACATACTTGGCCGATGGGAACAGGAGACATCAAGCACTGCAACTCCAAAGAGTTATCTGTTGACCTCGGAAAACATGGGGATACATTGCCCTCGACACACATGGCAACCACAACAGTAGTAGGTGCCAGTTGTTCACTTAGACTGATGTCAGCTCACACCTTCCCACTTCTAGAACCTCATCTTGATCTCATGGGTTCAAAACCAATTCACACACAGAACACGAAACCATTCATCAAATGTGGGGTTTCTTAGCCAACACGAAAGAAGAGGCATTATTTGGAATTGCTGGTATGAGTAGTAGAGTAAATAGATTGGATGGTATTGGCCTCTTCATCTTTCTCTAATCCGTCCCAAATGATATCCAACGTCTCTCCCCCATCGATGATATCGTTCAGACGAGGCAAGGTGAGGCCGATCCTATGGTCCGTCACTCGACCCTGAATTCATAGTCACAAAATCATACATATACCCCCCCCCCAAAAAAAAAGAGAGCCCACATCAATTTTTTATCCCTGTTTTCCAATGAAAGCCAAAACAAAAGGGCTGCAAACAGACCTGTTGGAAGTTATATGTCCTTATCTTTTCAGATCGGTTGGTGTTCTTGACTTGAGAAAGACGAGACTCGCGATTCTCGATGACTTTTTGTCGGAGTTTAAGGTCGAGCAGTCGAGCGCGTAAGATCATGTAAGCCCGTTCGCGATTCTACATCATCGTCGTCACCATCCGAGGGGAAAGAGAAAGTGAAGTGTGTGCAGATAAGTGATCATGAACAGGAAAGAGAGAGAGAGAGAGAGGATGGGGGGAGGACTGAACTTGGTGTTGTGAACGTGAGTCTTGCATGGAGACTACAGTTCCAGTAGGGATATGTGTTAATCTCACTGCCGATTCAGTCTTGTTAACGTGCTACTATTCCAACCGTTATTTCGGTTCATATTCACCAAGCAAGGGGGAGACAAGAGATCAGAATTGATGGCCAAGAAAGATTTCAAGAGATCGGTGGGGAAAGGAAATGGAAGAGGCACGCAACTTGTCCTCCCGCGCCTTGCGATCTCATCGTCTCCAACTTAATGTCTTTCTCGTCAAACAGATCCTCTGATTCGTTTTCCTCTGATCCCGAAGGATTGAGAGGCAAGACCTAAGGATACCAGAGGGAGGAGTTTAGTGCACTTCCTTTGAGGAGATGGGGAGAGGAGTAAGTCAAAAGGAAAGATGACGAACGATGACGGATGCCGTACTCGTATGAATAGAGGCGGTATTTTGCATGACGGGGACACGCTGTACGCGATGGACGCCGGCCTCCCAGCGGAGGGAGCCGTAGACGGCTTGGCCCTCGATCTCGAGGACGGCCTCTCTAAGGCCATCTTGGCCCTGCCCGCTGGTCATATATTCGACGCTGACGGGCTTGATGTGCCAGCGTTTCCGGGTGGCCAGACGGGTGTATAGGTTCATCAATAAGGTCGCAAAGTGTGACGCCTCCACGCCGCCCACTCCCGGCTTGATCTCCACTAATGCCGACTGATCGTACGACTCCGGCCGCGGTGATGCTACTTGTATCAGACCTTGCTTCACTTGCTCTATTGTCCTTAGTGCCCTTTCCTCGATCGTCTTCAACTCCGTAATCGCTATCTCTCTCATGTCTTCATCCGGATCTTTTTCTGAGATTGTTTTGAGCTCACAAGCAAGCTATCAATCAGTATATGTCAACATGTTCATTTTTGGTCTGCATAACCGTAAATATCCGCTTTCACTGCTACCAAGAAATGATTATTGAATCGTGGTGATGTGACTTACGGAAGAAAGTTCGTCATATTTTTCTACAGCCAGTTTGAGCGGTTGGATCGCTTTCTGTTTCTTGATAATCTCATACTTCGGAGCTGTATGATTAGAAGAAGAAGAAGTGACAGGATTTTGGTCGAGATTGGTGAGCAGGTTCCTAGCAGCTTTGAGGAGCTTTGGTGGTTGCTGGAGTTCGGTTGATATATATCTTGTTGTTGCAGTGATCCTTTTAATCAATCTGGGTGGTGAACAGTGATGATGGTTCCTTAGTAGGAGCAGTGAGGTTGACATTTCTTGTTGGTTGAGACTGGTCCATGGCCACCTCCTCCGGAAACTTGGTTAAGTGGTGGGTGTATGGGTCTGTGAAAGGTCTGCTGACAGGGCTTGTGAAATCAGCAATCCAAAACAAAGAACTCGACCACCAGAGAACAATACATAAGAGCATCTCTAACGGTCCTGCTGATGCGGGACCTGGAGCCAACTTCAGCGGGCCGCGAGTCTTTTTTGGCCGTTAGCGGCCATGCTGAGCAAGCTGCTGATGGCTCCGGGGGTGGACCCAAGCTGCCCTCGGCTGCTACTTCTGGCAGCTTTGGCATCCCATCCTCCAAGCTGCCATAGCTACCTTTCGGTCCATCCGTCGTCCCATTTCCATTTTTTTATGCACTTCTTCATATCAAACACCACATATCACCACATATCCTACACCAAATACCATGCCTCCCAAAAGGGTAGTACTCGATCCACTCCTCATGGAGATGAACCAAACCACCCCAACCGCAACTACTCGTACGATGAGAACAACTCACCCGGATCCCCATGCGACCCCCACTGGCTCAGTGCCCGCAACAACTCTTTCGATGCCAAGTCAGCTGGATCCCCATACAACTCCGGTTCCCCAACCCGCTTCTTCAAATGAAATCACCGACGAGACTGACGATGCTCCTAAGAAGAAGGCTCCAAAGTGGACCATCGATGAAGATAAGCAGCTCTGTGCTGCTTGGTTGAACACGAGCCGAGACAGTATTGTCGGAACCGGTCAGAAAGCTGGAACCTTTTGGGAACGGGTTCACCAGCTTTATACCGATCTTGTTGTTGATTACAACAAGGAAAACAAAAGATCAAAAACAATCAAGCCTTTACCAGTCCGACTCGTCAATGCGATCGAATGTCGTTGGGGTCACATTATGAGGGTCTGCAACAAGTTTGGAGGATGTTATTCGCAAGTCGAGCGTCGCATGAGGAGTGGGATGAGTCGAGATGATATTGTAAGTTTGCATTTCTACAAATTGATATTCAAATAAACATTAGTTAATATTTTGATTCCTGTCAGCTTTCTGAGGCGAAAGAACTTTACAAATCCGAGAACGAGTCGGCTTTCAATCTCGATCACTGCTGGGGCATTTTGAGAGAACATCCAAAATGGCAGGCAACACAGCAGGAGATCGATCTCAGACAGAAGAAGTCCAAGGACCCGCCAAGTAGCACACCTGCGACCAACGAGGCTTCTTTGCCATCGAGTCCTCAAACAACCACTCAACTAGACGACGACGACGACCGTAGTGCCCTGGGTTCTGACGCACGTCCGGAGGGCAACAAAGCGGCAAAAAGGAAGCGAGAAGAAGATTCGATCTTGCAGAAGATCATCAAGACCCAAGAAGACTTGGTCAAGATATCGAAGGAGCGATCGGCATCTGTGCAAAAGGCGTTGGAGGAGGCTGCGGAGGCAGATGATCGCATCATGGCGATGGATCTGTCTGGGATGGATGATGAAGCTAAGGCATACTGGCAAAAGAAAAGGCGTGCAATTTTGGATCGACCAGAGTAGAGAATTTTTCTTTGTTCAGTTTGTTGTAGCTCACTCTGATCACTCTGGCCTCATTTAATCATGCCTTCTCGCTATTTCTTCTCACTACATGATCGCTCTTCCATCTCGCTTCAAACCCTCACTTCCTTCTCACTACATGATCGCTCTTCCATCTCGCTTCAAACCCTCACTTCCTATCTCTTGTCTTCTTGTCTCGCAATCCAAAAACACACAAAGGGATGCTTTTTTGACTGAAAGCACCGAATGATCATTGAAACAAAAAAAAGTTGCAGGAGTTTGAGAGAGAGAATACAAAAATGTTGATGTAGAAGATAAACATGAGAGAACTTTGCAATTGAGAGAAGAACATTAAAAATAAAAGAGATAAAAATTTAATCCTCCGATTCGTCGGTTTCATCTCGTCCTAATTGGCTCCAGAGGTGTTCAACGAGGTCTGCCTTCAAGCGGTTATGAACATGAATGTCTCGGAGCCCGTGATATCGCAAGAGAAAAGAGTCAAAGTCGGCATTAGCTGAGTTATCACGTCCGATTGTGGCTTGTGTGCGAGCATTTTGATCATAGTCGAAATCTTCTTCAAAATCCGATCCAGCTTCATCCTCCACCGTCATGTTATGGAGAATGATTACTGTCTTCATAATTATACATAGGTCGGGGTGCTTCCATAAACGGCCGGGGTAGCGAATAATAGCATAGCGCGCTTGTAACACGCCAAACGCGCGTTCGACATCTTTGCGATACGCTTCCTGCATTTTTGCATAGTGTTTGTTTTTTTTACCTTGTGGATTCGAAATCGATTGAATGAGGGAAGCGTATTTGGGATAAATACTATCGGTGAGATAGTAGCCGAGGTTGTAGCGGTTGCCGTTAACGGAATATTCAAACGATGGGTTAACTCCATCTTGGCATTGCTGAAAAATGGGTGATCGATCGAGGACGTTGATATCGTTTAAAGTTCCAGGCAGGCCGAAAAACGCATGCCAGATCCACAGGTCGTGAGTCGCAACCGCTTCGAGTATTACTGTCGGCTCCTTTTCCTTGCCGCTGTACTGACCGTGGTCTGCAACGGGGCAGTTCTTCCAACCCCAATGCATACAGTCCAGAGAGCCCATCATGCCTGGGAACCCTCGCTTTTCAGAGACCGCAAGAATTTTAGCAAGGTCGTTCGCATTTGGACTTCGCAAGTATTCCTCGGCGTAGATTTTGACCAAAGCCGAGCAGAAATGCTTGAGACTTTCCAGCGCAGTACTTTCACCTGTGTTGGAAGAGAAGAAGTATGAGTGAAAAGCGAGTGAAATATATTTGAAAACAAATAAAATACTGACTGATTCTCAGGTATTCATCAATGGAATCAGCGCTGCAGCCATAAGCCAACAATCTAAACGCTGCTGTGACCTTCTGTAATGGTGAAAACCCCAAACGACCGGCTGCATCCCTTTTTTGAATAAAATAGTCATCCTCCTGTGAAACAGCCTCGACGATTTTAAGATAAAGTGTTCGTTGCATCCTGAAGCGTCGACGAAACAAGTAGTCTGGGTAGGTCGGGTTTTCCGAAAAATAGTCGTGGTAGAGCATCTGATCACCTTGAAGACGGTTTCGATATATTTCTCTTCGGCCAACTGTTGATCCGCCATGCTTCGGTTTTGCATTCATTCTTTTCACGACTAGTGCGATAGAAGTTGACAGGGAAGCTAGTATCTCGTCGTCGTCCTCGATCAATTCCATGATTTTGATAGGATCCATTGCGAATACGAAGGGGCGAGCTGTGGAATGGTTGGCTGGTCGGAATCGGTTGGCTGGTCGGAATCGGTTGGCTGGTCGTGCTTGAAGGAAGGGACGTCACGATCAATCCACCCCTGCCCACATCCACAGTCCATATTTTGGACTGTTGTGACATGTGGGTGACATCTTGGGACATCTACTCCCGGGCTGCTGAAGTCGAGCCGATCCACCCCCAGACCGTTAGAGATGCTCTAACCTCAGTAAAACATGCAATCAAAAAAAAAAACATTAAGAATCACAGCCCCTTACATCATCAGGAACAACTCGAGGGCAAAATGTGACAGGTGACATTGAGCAACAAGTGTTGAAATTCCAGTAGCACTCTGAGTTTACTCTCCTTTGATAAGAATTCCCTCTCTGAGTCTCTAATTTCCAGACCTATGTATTAAGTTCATTGTTGGAATAATGTCCATCTGGAGCTACATGACTCCTTCCCTCAATCAGCTCATGGTGCATAAACAGGACCCAGGAAAACCCCTATAGAACACAGTAACCAAAAAACTGAGATTTTTGAACAATTAATGCATTTTTTTGAGCCCATTAATAGGTGCTTTGTGCATGTGTTCAGCACAGAGGCAGGGGTGAAAGAGGCAAAAAAAGGGGGAGAGGCTAACCGTACACCAGCCCTCACTTCAAGGGAGTCGGACCTAGTGGAAGACTTCCCATCAATCTGGAAGCCCCTCCAGATCCAGACCTGGAATCCTAAATTTCAGATTTTTCCAAATTTTTCCAAAATCGTGTTTCTGTTGCCCGCTTGTCTAGATTTTGCATGGTACCCCACATATCTTCTCACCCCCAGCCTCTCTCCACACCTTCAGGCTCAAGGCAGCAGACTCCATTCTTATTGCAATGGAAAACATTCTCAACCACCCATCTCCCACTCAGAACTTCTCTCTGCACAGTCTGCCTCTGTGTTATTCACTTGTCTCACAAGCAAAAGCAAGCAGTGGCTGGCAGCAGTGGGGTTTGGTATTGTTTTTTCTGAACTTCTGATTGCTAGAGGAGCAGGAGAAGACATATCTGGAAAGCTTGCCAGGATGATAGAACCCCCCCCCCCTGTAGTTTTGGAAGTTGGACCTCCCTGGGGTGCACCCAAACTTCTGGGAAAAATTGGTCCAGGTATGGATCTAGGAGGGCCTTCAAAATCAACAGGAAGTCTTCCAGTTGCTGGTGTATACAGCCCCTCTGGTCTGCAAACCAGCCCTTTAAAGCATTAGGCTTGGACTTTCAGGCTAGAAGGGGGGCCTTGGGGAGTGTTGTGGCCAAAAATTTCATGACTCTCATACACCTTTGGCTACTACCACCCCTTCTTCAGGGAAAAACCCTTATTTGAGGTCAGTCCTTTTCTGGGAAAAAGCAGCAATTCACAAATTTGGGGTGAGTACCTTTTGTGGCTTTTGACCAAAGAGTCATATATTGGGGATACTGTGTTCTACAGGGGCTTTCCTGGGTCCTGCATGAACTGAAAAATAAAAAAGTCAAGAGGCCACTCTACCCCAAGAGTAATTTGAAAGAAACAGGTGCCCAGATCATGCTGGGTGACAAGGGCTTAGACCTGTCACCATCCTCTATGCTAATAGAGTTCTTCTGGCTTAGTTCCTGATGCCCCTTTCTCTGCCAGACTCCTCTCTCCACTGGTAATCTTGGGTTTAGAGGGGAGTGCTTTGGGCATATACCCCCTCTGCTCTTCTC